TCCCCGAATTCAAGCGTTTACTGGGTCTGCGCTTTGCGGGCGTCTATACAGCTCTAGCCCAGCTCTATCTAATCGCGGACCGCGAGCCGGACCACTCCATTATCAACCTCTCTCTCCAGATGCTGACGACTCCATCTATCACATCAGAGGTGGTTGAGCGTGGAAACTTCCTCACTAATCTAATGGCCATCCTTTATACCTTTTTGACTACGCGTCAAGTCGGTTATCCCTCGAACGTCGATCCGAAAGCCACGTTAGCCTTCGAGCAAGGGGCCGTGACCAATCGTCGCATGTATCACTTTTTCCTCGATATGAAATATCTCCTCGGATCAGAATTTGTCCAGGAGAGAATCCGTGAAGAGCCGCGCTACCTCTTACAATTCCTTGATCTTGTCAAGCTTCATCAAGGTATCTGTCCTAACGTTCGACAAGTGGGTGAGCATCTAGAATTTGAATCTGAAGCTTGGATCAGTGCCTCCTTGATCACTCGGGAGATCAACAAGCTGTGTAGACATTTCGCGGAATCTTTTGCCTGGACTCGCGATGAAGATCCAACCAACATTCAACGTGCAATACGTGCAGCCGCAAAGGTTGCTATCATTCACTCGCTAGGTGCTGAACGCAAACGCTTTGATCAGACCGAACTAAAAGAAGAGACCAAGTTCAAGACTTTGGACATTCTCGAGTTCCATTCCGAGTCATCTCAAAGGCAACCATACAAGATTGTTGATTACGTTGTTGCGACTCAGCCAATGAGCTTCCATCATGCACTTCACTATACTGTATCCTGGTTGATTGATCGAGCACGGAGCATGAATCGGGAGGACATCCTACGACTACTTCTGTTTTCTTACAGCGAACTACAGATGGACCTTGGCCCAGCTGTAGCACCTATTCCAGTCCACGAGCCTGAAGACTACTTACTTGCCATGTTCGATTTCCCGCTTCGGGTGTGTTCGTGGCTGGCACAGATGCGCGCCGGAATCTGGGTTAGGAACGGTATCACATTGCGACACCAAATGACTCAATACCGAAGCGTATCACAGAGAGACGTTTCCCACCAACGGGACATTTTCCTCTTACAGTCTGCTCTCGTCTTGTGTGATCCGTCAGTTTTCCTAGCTTCCATGGTCGATCGTTTCGGACTTGTCGGTTGGATGACTGGGAGATATGAAGCTAGCTACCATGGATTCGAAGATAGCCAAGCTATTGATGTGGTAGAGGACTTTGTCCACTTGCTGATCATTATTCTCAGCGAGCGTACCTCGTTGATACCTGCAGAGGACAACGACGAGTCTCAACTGGTCGCTATGCGCAAGGACATTGCGCATGTTTTGTGTTTCAAGCCACTCTCCTTCTCCGACATGACAGCACGTTTGTCAGACCGGATTCAGAACCTAGACGAGTTTCCTGAGGTGCTTTCAGAAATGACCAGATTTCGACCTCCAGAGGGCTTGTCTGATAGTGGTACTTTCGAGTTGAAAGAGCAATATATCGACTTGATCGACCCGTATCTTCACCAATACAACCGGAACCAGAGGGAGGAGGCGGAAAATATCTACAAAGCATACGTTGCTAAGCAAACCAGCAAGCAAGCGAGTGACATTGTCTACGAGCCGAAACTTCGACCAATCCCCTCTGGCTTGTTCCGAGATCTGTCAGCTTTTACAAGGACCCCGTTGTTCACTCAGATCATCTATTACCTCCTAGCATATGGTCTCAAGGCTGCGCAAGTTACACCAAGCATACCACCAACTCGTGTAGAAACATACATTCAATTTGTCCTACAATTGGTTCTTGTTGCTATCCTCGAAGACAAAAGCACAGAACATGGATGGTCTGAAAAGGCACCAGAGTCGTTTGTCACTTCAGTGTTGACTCAAAACGCCAGCATGGGAATACAGGGCCACCCGACTGTCCTTTCGATCTTAAAGTCTCTTCAGGATATCGAGGTTTTCAAGGCATGCGAGCCAAAGATCAGTTTGATACTTCATCGGCTCAAGCAGCGACAGCAAGATTCTTTCATCATTGCTGCTGCTGCAATCAACATGCCGGCTGACAGAATGGACACTGCCTCACCTGCGCCCCAAGATAAGGAGTCTAAGGAGCTGAAGAAGAAGCAAGCTCTTGAGAGACAGGCAAAGGTCATGGCAGCGTTCAAAGAGCAGCAAGGCAAATTCTTGGCCAATCAGGACTTCGATTGGGGTGAAGATGACTTCAGCGACCTTGAAGATGAAACCGGGGGACTTGTCGAACAAGAAAAGACACTGAAATTTCCCTCTGGCACATGCATACTATGTCAAGAAGACTGCAACGAACAGAGACTGTATGGATCTTTTGGGTATATTTCCGAGAGCAGGATACTTCGGCAAACACCCTTGGAAGATTCAGAGTGGGTAGATGAAGTTGTACAGACCCCAAGTAGTCTTGACAGATCCGCCGAAGACCTGCGACCATTTGGCGTTGCGGGCAGAAACCGACGCATGATTGAGAAGGTGACGGCCACGGGTGAGCGAGTGACTAGTGAAAGGCAAGAACTGGGAAGAGGATTCCCACCAGCCTCTGTGACACCAGGTCCGGTAACCACTGGTTGTGGTCATATTATGCATTTTGCTTGCTTTGAGGTATACCTCAATGCGACCCAGAGGCGCCATGTCAGCCAGATTGCCAGGAACCACCCCGAACGGCCTGAGCTCAAGGAGTTCATGTGCCCACTTTGCAAAGCCCTTGGCAACATTTTCTTACCAATCATCTGGAAAGCAAAGAAGGTATCTAGTACCGGTGTGCTAGAGACTGAACAAACATTCGACGACTGGCTCGAGTCACAGCTGGTCGCGACTCATAAGAGTCTGGAAAAGGGGTTGAAAGTACCGGCTGATATGTCCCATGACCAGAAGATGCTTTATGGGTATGCAGAGCGGAATTTCATCCAACCGGTATCGAGTCGACTGCCTGACCTTCTCAAGCCCCAGCTTCCGACAGCTGGTCTCGCTCTTGCACAACCATCAACACAGCTTGCGCCGCGATTCCAGGTCCCGGCTTTCCTGGGTGTGCAACCTCTGGAAGCCGCTGAACCAGGATTCGGCCCAACTCAAACCAGCCCGGCTTTGACCCAGGATGTTCCCATGGGAGAGTTGATCAAGATATACCACAGACTCAGAGACACATTGAAAGTCAACAGCATTCAGTCCTCGTTTGCATACCCACACACACCATCTATCTCGGAGGACTTTACACACACAGATGCCCTTGCGCAGGCCCTTGGATACTCGATCGCTGCAGCAGAAATTGCTCAACGAGGCGTGCAGTCTGAAGCCGCGCGCGGAACTCTGATTGACAGGATTTCCCCACAGACAATCACGCATCTCCGGGTATTTTCAGAGAGTGTCTCTTCATACATTGCGATTGGAGGTCTGCGAGGTCAGGGTCCAACCAAGACTATCAATGAGTTTTCTGAGATCCAGCGCCGGCAATTCCGTCAGTTGCTAGTTGGACACCCAAGTATATATGACCCAGATGTGTTGAGCTTCGATCTCAAGGGCATAACACCTCTGCTTTGCCAGGATCCGTTCATTTTCCTCTCTCAATGCGCTGTCGGCATCGTTTCAGCGGCGAATCTCGACATTCACCACATCATGCGGATGTGTTACCTTGCAGAGATTGTTCGGGTGATTTTTGTGTTTGCTCTGGGCAGAAAGAATCATTCGACTGAAGAGATGCCACTGGACTCTGATCTCCTCTTCCCGAATCCTGAACAGTTCATAAACCCAGAAAAGGTTAGCAGCAGCTTTGGATCAACAGAGCAGATGAACAATCTTCTCTTCGTTATCTGCGTCATCTACAACGTGACCAATTTCGGCAACTCGCCTTCCTCGCTCGATATCGACAATATGCCTATCCCTCCACGATTCAAGGATCCAAACTTTCTCTACTTCATACACACCATAGTCTCGACATATGCGCTACCTTTTGTGCGCAAAGCCGCAATCCTAATGCACGTCCGCTACGGTATCGATCTGCCACACGTTTCCACCGAACGCGCAGATGAGCCCGAACTCGCGCGATTATCCACCATCCTCCGTCTGCCCTCACTTGACGAAATCTTTGCCTCATTCACCATGCGCACAAGCGCAGCCCACACTACCCGATCCATTGTCGGTGGCTGGCTACGGCATTTGCTATGGGCTCAAGCAGGCAACAATCCCCTTCGACCTACGATCTCGCTTTCCCACCCCGCAATCTTCGAGCTCGTAGGCCTGCCCAAGAACTACGATACGCTGACCGACGAAGCGATACGCCGCCGCTGCCCAACGACTGGCAAGGAGCTGACAGACCCTGCCTTGTGTCTCTTCTGCGGTGAGATCATGTGCAGCCAAGCTGTATGCTGCATGACGAATAAGAACCGTGGAGGCTGTAATCAGCATTTAGCTAAGTGCGTCATCCCCCTTTCTCCACACTTTCCCTATACAACTCGTTTTCAATATTAAGAAAGGAATCCTTACTGACAATACGCATACAGATGTGGCGGTCAAATCGGCCTCTTCATCCACATCCGCAAATGCATGGTCCTCTTCCTCAACCTCGACCACGGTACCTGGCATGTCGCCCCTTATCTCGACAAGCACGGTGAAGTCGACCCGGCTCTGCGTCGTCACCACCAGCTTTTCCTCAATCAGAAACGGTACGATGCGCTACTTAGGAAGGTCTGGCTCGAGGGCGGTGTGCAGAGCCTTATTGCGAGGAGGTTGGAGGGTGATGTGAATAATGGGGGGTGGGAGAGTTTGTAAGTAGTGGTAATGAGGGGGTTTGGGGTGTATGATTATGAATATGAAAATGAAAACGAGGTCGGTGTTTGGGGGGTGGGGCGATGGAGTTTCTTTGCTACCTTTTTTAATGAATATGTTTTTTATGGTTGAAATTGGGCGTGTTTGAATTGGACTGTGATTGTGATTGTGATTGTGATTTGCTGATATAGTTTTACACTATGGTACACGATGTATCTACGATGTAATTTTGGTGGGTTCGCTGGGTGTGTCGTCGTTCTCGGAGGAGCGGTTTTGCTCGACAGGTTCTTCGGCAGCGACAGTGATCCTTTCCTCGCCGTCGGTGCTTGCTGCTGCGTCTCCCTCTGTAACCGATACCGCCCCATTAGTCTCGTCGGCAGCAGTGCTGGAGGTTTCAGCTGCCTCGGCAGACACGTCATTGTCCTTGTCGCCATCATCCAGTGCTGAATCACTCTCCACTACACCGACGGCATCACCCTGCTTCTCCACCTGAAAATCCTGTCTATTTTCATACGATTCAGCAACCCTCGCAGACCCTCCCTGCTGCGGAATCCTCCTCACAACCCTATCATCCAATCTAGCCTCTTCACTCTTCAATCCCAACCTCTCCGCCACAGTTCTTTTCCATTTTACAATCTTACTTATCTCATCAGCGAACAGCTCCATGCTGTACACCAGCTGTAGCTCTCGCCCAAAGATACCACTTCTCGCCTGATTACTTTCTTTGAGAATGGCGTCGAGCAGTGCAAGGATATCAGCGTCGAACTCGATGGCGATGTTGTCCATTTCGGTGAGTAGCGTGTCGATGGTTGTAAAAGAGGATCGCTGTATCCATGCTGTGTGTATCAGGTGCTTGTAAAGAGTTGTTGTAGCACCGAGGACGTGAGAAGAGCGACCGAGACTCTTGATTGTGGGAAAGATGGACAGGGGAAGTAGTGAGGAGGGAAACTCTGAGCGGAGAGTGACGACGGCGGTTATGAGATGGTGGGGGTAGTTTTGGAACAGGATACGCTGTTCGGGAGAAGGTGGATCGGGTTTAGTGACAGTCCGGGGCCGTGTGGTACCCTTTGTCCGCGCTCTACTGTTGGACTCGGCGGCTGGTGGTCTGCTTTCGCCAGCATTGGTGTTGTCAAGGTCGAGTGCACGCACTTTGGTGAAGACTTCGCGTTCGAGAACTTGCCAGAGCTCGCGGTCGGTGGGTGCATTGCGGATGAGTTTGTCAACTCTTTCTCGTTCTGCCAGGCGCATCTCTCTGAGCTGCGCTGTATCGAAGCCCAAGCCCTTCCTCCTACCACCTCGTGAGTTGTCCAATTCTGTTCCAGTTTGGTTTGTAGGCGAGCCATCCTTCCTTGACTGAGCACCCGCTCTTTGCCGCTGAGCAAGTGTACGTATTGACCGAAGTCGCGATTCGCCTTTCATAGCCTCGTCGAAAATCTGGTCCAGAGATGGCTTCGAGTTCTCTTCGTCATCCTCATAGTACTCGTCCGCTATCTGGTCGAGCTCCACAACATGATCCTTTTCCTTTTGTTGTCGTCCCTCAGTGTTGAACTTTCTGTACAATTTTTCGAACGCTGCACGCTCAGTACTTGTTATGGTTGTCTTTCGTGCAGGTTCGTGGTCGATAGAAGGCGGTAGATTTTCATCCACGAAGGGAATATCATCTCCATTGTCCGGACGTGATCGTGAAGCAATGGTGCGGCGCACAATTGGTCGTGTGGCGGACTGACATCGCTGGATGGTTGTTGTTTGGTACAGGAATGGCAAAAGTGTTTTCAGTGGCGGGACGCGAGAGCGTGATACGGCTCTGACTGTGCGCGAGCATGCAGACATCGACTAGGAAGGACTTGAGACGAATCGCAATGCAACAATTGAGAATAAACAAGAAAGGAAACGCACGCGGCGACAGTGGAATGCGATACCAGTGCGGCGTTGGACCCAATCCCAAAACTTTCGAGATCGCTAGTGGTGGCCAAAGCTCAGCGTACCCGATTGGGCAGTCTTGAAAATCCATCGATGGCTGTCTTAGCAGGTCGGAAATCAAAATATGTGTATTGATTGGCCAGTTCAACATACTGGTTTGGGCAGGGGAGATAAAAGCCGTCGAAGACGGTGATTACTGGAAAATGGAACTAAAAGTAGTAATGATTATTGGCCGAGACCGAACATGCCGCATAGGGCAAGAAAAGGATAGGCATTGAACAATGGGGTCAGTTTACTTAGTAATTGCTATTTAGTAAGTCGACTTAGTAATTCTGATTTACGAATTACTTTATCGTAAAGTCGACACAGGCTTAGTAAAGAATGACTGTCATGCGGTGAGCTTCCTCATCTAGGTATCGAGACCGGGAGAGTAGTCCAAGAACAACCAAACCCCGTCTACTACATCCGACTGCTTGGCACACTGATTTTTGGAAATGATGATAGAATACAATGCATTATAGCAAGACACACCCATGGGTAAAACGTCAGTATAGCATTTCACAGACTCGAGATATGGTTGTTGCTTGTTTGTGTTCGCACAATGTCTCTATATGAACACTACAACGGAGAGGGAAAAGATAAAGATAACAATGTCGAGAAGGGTTACAAAGATGTTTCATTCTGCACAGAACCGACCGTCATCTGGGTTGTTTGCAAACAGCAGTCATTAGTGATTGATTGTTGACAGACAACACTCTCTGAGCTTCTCGCTGAGATGCAAAAGACGATCTTTGAGATGCCTTGATCTTTGAAGACAGCGTGTTGATGTGTGTTACAAAGGACACTGATCTACAAGCAGACATTGTTACCAATACCCATATTGACTCGACAGGTTGCCCAAAGCGCGAAACCAATATGCTCGAGTAAGTACATGTACCGAAAAGTGTGTCATGAGTCGAAGACACGGGGTGCATTATCCGCTATCACGATTAAAAGAAAGAAAACCAATTACATTGCTAAAATTATGCGGAATTCTCCTTTGCACCTTGTCTAGATCACCAATAACAGGACAGAGAAAGGCCGAGATCATAACATGCGCAGATATCCTTGTTCTTAGATAGCCGAATTTTGACACGGTTGATGATATGCGCAATGTGGCGTATTATCTTGTGAAGACTAAGTATCCGTAGCTTCCAAGCACACTTGCAATAGGAGACAATAATGCTAAACGAAAGTTCTCGCCCGTGCCTCTAAGTATTCCGTCTGTATCAGGGATTTCGACACCCTGGGGTATTTGTGGAACTGGTAGTGGGGCACTTGGTCATCCTCGAAGCAACTGGTGTGTGCGTGAAGAAAGGCAATCATTAAGGCCTCAAAGGACCTGATCATACTAATTACTTTTACACTAAACCTGTTTTAGTAACAAGTGCCTTCCCGCTCTCCTACACTGAACCGTGTCTTCCAACAATAGTAACACATCTGGCAATTGATAAAATGCCAGAAAATAGCATTAGACTCGTATCATGCATGCACATGTACTTCGCAAAGTCATATCACCCCAAGACCCTTGGCTCATCCCACTTGTGCTGCGCCTTTCTCTTGTCCCTGAATACCCGGCTTGGGTAACGCGCCGAGGGTTTCTTGGCCCGTAAGGGTTTCTTGGGGCCATGACTCGGTCGACGTCGTTGGAAACGACATTTCGCAACCCCATCGCTGCAAAATGCTGCTGGAATATCATCGATGTCAATGATGGGCCATGGTTGTCCCTCCCGTCGACTTGCGTTTATGGCTCTTTCTGCAAGGGTATTCGTCTGTGAGTCGTGATTACATTATAGCGCTTCGTTGCTGCTCAATATGGCTACATCGGAATTTCTGTATCTGTTGTTAAAGTCCGAATTGGTTTGGGGCAATTCCAGTCCATGCGACACAAGCACAAAACCACAGCAATAGTCCAAAAGTACACTGTTCCAGTTGAAGTGACCATTGGCAGTAGTCCAAGGCTACTCAAACTCGTGCATTAATCGGCATCTCATGAGCGTAAAGTCCTCGACTCCTCATCATCATGACCCAATTCTCTGCCCTCGAGCTCAGCAGCTGGTTGCTCAACCTCCACCGCCGCATCTCTTTTGTATGCGACTGCACTTGGTCCCATCTCATGGAGGTGCTTCGCGTGTACCTCGGACGGCATTGAAGCCGAATACTCTGCGACTTCTGGAGTTCTCCGTGCCTTTCTTCGCTTCTTCAAGATGAAAAATGCAATCAGTCCGCCGATAATTGCAAGCCCTGCGACTCCACCAAGTGTAGCTCCAACGGCCGCGCCTGTGGATATACCCGAGGAATGCGAAGATGGCGCAATGACAGATGGAGTAGGCGACTGGGTGCTGACGATATCACAAAAGTCGATACTGTAGTATACGAAGGAAGAGTTGTAGCAGTCGATGGGCTGAATCACTTCTTGATAGCCTGAACAGATGTTCTCGGTGGTGTCATTTTGGTAGATGGTGACTAAATCGCCTTTGTATCAGTATGCGCGTTTCCCTGTTCGCGATCAATGGCTTCAACTCACCAGTGCAGCCTGGATCCAGGCCTACAACTTGAAAACTGCCGTATGGCCCAGTACGTCGCAGATCGGTACACGTGCCATTGGGATAGCCATTGGGACCTTCGAGACCTCGCAGCGAGTTTTGGCAGTGCTCATCCGTGAAGAGGGCTATTTGACTGGCGGCGAAAACATGGGTAGCGTACAAGACCAGAGACGTGAGGTACTTCATTCTCGAAAGGGTGAGGGAGGGGCTCTCAGGAAGGGCGGTGGTACAATGTCGAGAGCGCGAACGAAACCGGTCCGAGCCGCCGCCGTTAAGACACGATTTGGCGTGTCGGCTCTGGTACCACTTCGTTTGTGTACGACTTGGGGGCTACAGAGGTGCCCAGCATATGCAAGACCACATCCGGTGTAGGCTGGGGGCCTAATTTCTGTTTATCGCTTGGCGCTCAGGGTGTGTGGCTATTTCCACTAATTAACTGTTGCCCGCTAGATTGCATGAGGGTGACCGACCCACCTCGGGCGTCCCACTTTGCGGCTGTGGATTCACTCTGTTTTTTTGCTTCGAGTGACTTTCGGTGGATTAGGCGGAGAGTTTCTTGGATGCATGGGGCCATGGTCAGAATTTATATCTATCGAGGAGCGGGGAGCTCGCTATTGCGGGTGCAGCTGAAGCTGGAGTTGTCAGCTGAAGCGATGAGACATACGCAATAGGCGGTGGGCGAGCTGAAACTGGATGACAGCGCATCTTTGGCATGTGACCGTGCATGCAAACAATGTTGAATTACTTACTCATACTCCAAGTCGAATGGCTGCTGGGTCAAGCATTGATGGCCTGGGGACAGATGGATACTCGTGCATTGTTGAATTCCAGAGGAGATGGAGAGACGGGGGGGAGGGGGAGGAGTGGAGAGTTGTTCGGCAACAGCCATGGGCGGCGGGGATGCGGGGAATACGACGGCACTCGCATTTCAACCTCGCCAGCTCTGACCACTGAGAGCGAGCTTGTGCATACTTATTTTACATACGCTCGCTAACTATGTCATCCAGAGGCCAGCCACGGGTCCTGCTCTTCGGCGCTGGTAGTGTCGGGGCTATCTACTTGTACCTACTGAGCAAAGTAGCCCATACAACAGCCGTCTGTCGCTCTAACTACGATGTTGTCAAGGAACATGGTTTCATTATCAACTCGTCCATTTTCGGCAATGACATCCATTTCAAGCCAAACGTCGTCCGCGATTGTGGCGAAGCGTCATCCCATTCGCCAGAACCCTACGACTACATTGTTGTCTGCAGCAAAGCCATACCGGGTACGGTGCCCAGGCTGATAGGCCCTGCTGTGACGCCTGGGCATACGGCTATTGTCCTGATACAGAACGGAGTAGGCATTGAAGAAGAGTTCATGCAGGCCTACCCAAACAACCCCATCATCAGCACCGTTGTCTATCTTCCCGCAACCCAGAGACCAGCAGGTGTTATCAGACATGGCGAGGTAGAGCAGCTTCAGCTGGGAGCCTATCCATCCTCCTCATCCAACTCTTATGCCAAAGCCTTCGCAGAACTTATAACATCTGCCGGCGGTACTGCAGAGCTCTACGATGACGTTCAAGCCAAGCGCTGGTACAAACTTTTGGTCAACGCTTCCTGGAACCCGATATGCGCCCTCACGTTGAGCAAAGATACCGAGGTTCTGACAGCTTCAAAAGAAGCCAATGATGTGCTGCGGGCCGTTATGCTGGAGATCCGGGACATCGCAGCCGCACATGACCATGACATCACACGAGAGCAGGTCGATATTCAGCTCGGGCGGGCGCAAGCTAGGATCCCAAACAATGCTGGCATTGAACCAAGTATGCTTCAAGATGTGCAGGCTGGCCGGAGGATAGAAGTGGAGGCCATCGTAGGCAATCCAGTAAGGATGGGCAAAGAGAAAGGAGTCACGTGTGTGAGGCTCGAGATGCTCTACGTGCTAGCAAAAGCATTGGATTTGCAGATTGGAAGAAGATGATGTAAGCATTGCTTGTCGCTCTAAGGAACGGGACGCTTTTGACAGCCTGCTGTAAGATCTTATCAAAGAGAATTCAAGTATACTCTTAGTCTCTGGTCCTTCCGAGCCGCTTTGTTCCACGCTTGACTTGATCATATCCTCTCCCAAATATCATTGCCGTTTGAACATCAATGCAGTAGTCGCGTTTCACTGTCAACCAAATGCAGTGTTAGTCCTTAGCCGATTCACTGCTCCACACGCGTGGCGGGCATCATGCCAAGCTTTCTAGTTGTGTTCATTTCACTTTCACTCCCACACAACAATGGAAAAACTGTTGCAGTGTTGACGAACGGTTCGTCGCAGACCTTTGACATTCACTTTGAAGATCTTGCTTTTCATTCTGCCGCCAGGCACCACCTCTCCTTCAACTATAAAGTTTGCTTCAACTATACATAGCAATCTCAACCTACAATACCTCCTCCCACCTCTCTTCTTTTCTCATATAACTACTATCTGAAACCTTTGAAAGGATAAAATCTGAGCCAACTCCACAAGTCACGGAAAAAATGTGGGCTATCATCTCTCAGATTTGCAGCTTCTACACCGACATTATGGACTTCCTGTACTGGGAGGTGTACTATGAGATCTGTGACTTTTTCATAGAGAGTTTAGTTGTCTCAATCATCACTAAACTCAGCTTAATAGGTGTCTTCTTCGCCCTTGGTATCTATCTTCTCAACAAAGTGGACGAATTGGAAAAGGGTCAGTTCAACCGTGGATACCAGCATCACGAAAACTACGATGCTGACAGACAATCAGTTGAAGCCAAAACACCAATCGCCCCTACTTCCCCTCTGGTTTATCCCGTCGCGACACCACTACCACGCCCGGACTCACCTATACCTACAATCTACTCTCCGCCATATGAATTTCCTTTCGAGCACTTCCGTGGGACAGGCGAATCTTTTACACCGTCTCGCCAAAACCTTCACGTTGAACGCCCACGATATATTCCTCCAGTTACCTATAAAGGCAGTACTTTTTTGAAAACTACCGAGAATGTACAGAGGCCAGACGAAGGCATCCCGGCAGTTGCAGAAGATGCTGAACCTCCACATGAGGAGGTTGAGCAAGCTCAACTATTTCCTGACACCCCTTCGCCTCCACCCACAAGCAACAGGTCGACCTCGCTCCCGGAAACGGCGAGTATCCAAACTCCTATCCAAACTCCTCAAACTCCACATCTTCCCGAACCCCCGAGCCCCAGAACCATACGAGTGAACGCCCTGAATCGGGTTGCCCAGGAGGAGCATAAGATTCAGGAGCAGATGGTCATTTTCCTCAACATGATCCCCACTGGTTCGGGATACGAGCTCTCGGCCGCCCTTATACTAGACCTTTTGTGCGAAGCAAAGGAGTATCTGGAGCCACTCTTTCCAGATGGATTGAGTGGTGTTCCCACCGGTTATCTCGTCTGGGGGCAAACAATCATCGATTTCTGGAACGCCCTCTCACCATATGGCTGGGACTTTGTTAACCACCAAGACAGCAGAATGCCTGAGTTCATCAGGAGGTATCTCAATCTTGCGATTTGGTTCGGTTTGGAAGAACGCCTCAGCGAGTTCCTTTTCGTGCCACCGTTTATTCCTAGGCCTGTGTCTGAGTCTGTTCCTATTCCCGAGCCTATACCTGAGCCCATTGTTGAAGATGTTCCTATTACCGAACCTATACCTGAGGCTACACCTGAGCCCCTACCTGAGCCTGTTATGAGTATTACCGAGGCTAGGCCTCAGTTCCAAGAGCAAATGAGAGTGGCTCCAGTCTCCTCCTCCGCCACATCACCACCACCACAGCCAGAACATTCTGCTCCACAGCCAGATTCCGCTCCAGCTACCTACACATATACGATGTCAACGGTCCCGACGAACTTCTCGTACCAGAAACCCAGCCAAAAGTCTGACCCGCTACCAAACCCATCATCCACCTTGCCTGCAGATGATGCAGCACCCGCAATCCCGGTCCAAGAGACTGTGCAACCTCCACAGAAGGAACAGTCTACAACGATAACTAGCTTTTCTCCTCTCAATTTTACGTACATACCATCAAATCCTGTGAACCCCTCCCATCGGAGAAGTAACAGGACATCCAAGCCACCACTCACAAAGCCATCACGACCCTCGCAAGCACGTCAAAAGCAACCTGCCGAGCCACCCAAACCCACTCCAGTCGACCCCAACCTCCTCGACTTCACCGACCCAAAGTGGTCCAACAAACCCACCCCCGAACTCCTCACGCTAACCTGGTCCTCCTTCTCCTTCCCCACCCCCAGCGCCGCAGCCCTAAAACTCTGGTCTCACTCCACCATGGGCCGTCTCTCGCTCCCGGAACCCCGCACAAAAATCCTTACCTCAGACTACATAAAGTCGAACCTCGAAACCATAGCCCTCGAGTTCAAACGCGCCGCTGCCATCCTCAGACTCCAGGCGCTCGACTGCGAAAAGCCGTGTGAGGATGATCTAGGCATGTCGCCGCTGTTCGGGGAAGTCATGTTGTTGATTGTCCAGGCGGCGAATTTCACGGAGCGATGCGATGAGTTGTGTGTTTGGGATGCGCGGGATAATTGGTATCATTCTTGTGTTTTTTTCCGCGATGCCGTGGTTCAGGATGAGAGGGTTTGGGGTGCGCTTTGTAGGTATTATGGACAAGGGAAGTATAAGCCGCTGAAGAAGGCGTGGGAGCAGGGGAGTGTGGAGTGGCTGTTGTTGGATGCAGATTATCCGGATGTTGAGATTTGAGCGGTTTCTTGGTTTATGATGATTGGGCATGCTTTGTTTGAAGGGAGTTACTGTTCAGCGCGTTTTGCTCTTATTGACTTTTCAGTGCTCTTCTTGTTTTGTCACGTTGCTTGGATGATACCCCCCCTTGGTCTTGTGTTTTCATATAGCAGTCTAGAGATCGTTTGATAATCAAAGACGCTTAGCGTTTCTCACATTGTGATATGAAGTTATTTTCACGTGTGGATATGTCAGTGGAACCCCTAGATTGATTCGTTCTTACAAAGTGAAGAAGCCATATCACAGACTGGACAACGCGCACCACACAATGCCGTCAAACACACCAGCAAGTCACCCAACACGTTACACCACAAGCAAAAGCACCAAACCATCAATGTGAAACTTCGATTAAAGACTCACTACCAACCCTACAACTTCTCTAGAAAATTCCAAAAACAAGAATATTGTACTACTCTCAAAAGCTACCCAACAAACACACCAATCAGGCACTATACATTACTAGCGGACTCTAAAAGGCTCCACGCTTAAGCAGCAGCAGAAGGGGCAGGGGCAGTAGGGTTAACGTCAGAGCAGATAAGTGCCTGGCCGAGAATGGGGATCAGGCAGCACTTGGCCTGCTGGCCCACTGAAGAGCAGGTATCGATGAACTCATTGACGCCAGCAGGGGTGACGGTAGCTGTGTGAGGCGTTAGTTACTGTGGTTTTTATTTTCAAATGGGAGAGGAAAGGAAGAGGTGGAAACGTACGAGGACTGCAGTCCAAGTCAGCGAGGTCGAGGACGTCAGTTGCGCAGCAGACGGGGTTGCCAGAGGAGCAGAGGCCAACCTGGCGCTCTTCGAGGGGAGCAGCGAAGGCAGCGGTGGCAGCGAAGGCGAGGATGGTGGTGATGGAGAACTGCATTTTGATGGTGGAGAAAAGCTGATATATCTTTGAAGATAAAGAAAGTGTAATTGGTTAGTTGGAAAAGTGAAGGTTGTAGTTTGTTTGCGAATGTGTGGAGTTGGATGTGATGATGTTTTTTTTATCGAGGACTTGCGTGCTCTCTTTATACCTTTCCTTTTGACTACTGGCTGATACGTGTATTCATTTTCCAGGGTCTGTTCCAAGGTACACGCAACTCTTACTTGCGGCGTTCATCGTCATTAGACTTGCCACTTCACGGAAGATGATCGTCATCGGCCAGGGGAGGAACGAGGAACGCACGTCCACAATCAGTCGACGATAAAGGTACCGATCCACCTGTTTACACCTAACTTAGTCGTGGTATGTGTGACCCTAGTAAGGAGTGACGTCGATCTCGAATCATCCCAGCTTCCTCGTTCCCGGTGGATCGTCTTGACTGGATGCTACCGGGTGCGGAGACTCCGTCGGGGCTGTTGATCTTGAAACGTGCCGGTTAAACTGTTCTTTGCATTTAGAGAGTGAAAAGCCACAGAATGTAGATCTATGCCGGACGTTTAGCTGTACACAGTATGGATATGACATTTAACACGGCATTCTTTACACATTAAGCATATTTTGGCTGCGCGCTGGCGCGTAGACTTGCCACAGTGTATGCGTACGCCATGTATGACCGTATTGCCAGCCGTATAGAGGAATTATGGTATTCCCAATGCCCTCTCATAGGACAGCAGGACACCATCTAGATACTGTGGCTATGCCCTTGGTGACGTCGATGGAGCCGAGAATCGGCTAAGTACATGGCCGACAAGGTCGCATAGTACTCATTTCCGGCAACTTGACCAAGTCAAACTTGTACAAAAAGCATTGTTCGAAGCCCATGTTCACGGCAAACACGGCTATATACTTGGTGAATGCATCAATGCGACGTGGGATATGAGATTGTATCGCGATTAACCCCTTTGTGAATCCAAAGATCAAGCATGTGGACGCGAGACCCAGAACTAACCCACATCATACGGTCAAATGAGCGTGAATTTTCTTTCTTTAGCAATTGGTAGATCTTCGGGAGATGATCGTTGACAACGGTGAAAAGTGGCGAAAGTAGTGCTGTCTAGCACTGTCGACACCTCATTGAACCATGCAAGTGGCGGTGATAGGGGTGCATCCAGAACATGACGGGAAACGTGAGCTAGAGGAGCTACGACCCATTGACGAATAAGATCCAAGAGATGGCTTTCAAACAATATGCAGAACAACAGTAAAACCTGGTGGTGATTCGGTAGCCGAGCGGTATAGCAAGGATGAGGTCTTATAGGTACTTGCCAGCGTCACTGAACTTGTGGATGGTGTGAAGCGCCATTACTTTCATGCTGTGTAACCTGGGACTGTATGCCATCAATTGTGAGTGTTGTTTCGCTTCGGATGTCCCAAAATACATTCTAGGATGTGGTCAGCATGAAAAGGGCCGTCTCAGGGGCCGTTGTGCAAAAGGAGGAGGGAACGGAGCGTTGCATGCCCAGCCGGACGTTGCGCCCCACCGGTCTACCCCGCTATCCCCTTTGCAGTCTGACAGCCCTTGCTCCCTTGCACCTCTCTACGTCACGCCTCAATCTTGTTCCTGGATAGCGCAGCAGGATCTCAACAATTTCATCATTATATTCACCTTGGCCAATGGTTGCTGTCAATTGAGCAACTTAACAGCCTTTTTATCCTGGGCGCTTACGCCACAGAAGTAGCCGAGGGCGAGTCATGAGATTCCTCGCGCCGCTGTCTACGCGAGGATAGGATCATACCTTCTGGTGGCGTACAGTCTAAGGAAACTTGGAGCGGACGATCTGGAGGTGGAGGCTTTGCGACGTGGAAACTTGATAGTGCTTGGCCAATTGTGCTCCTGCATCATCGTCAAAGAAGGCTATGCCCAAGCTGTGCTGCACCAAGGGCAAATTGAGAAAGCCTCGTCATCAATAACTACGTATCGTCTATTGCGATCGTCTTCCAACGGATCATTTGGTGGAAGGTGTCGCGTGGGCAAAGAGTCACTGACCATTACGCCCACATCAGCAATAATCCATTGATTTCCGCCATCATCCGATTTGGTTGCTATCGAAAACAGGGATACCTCATGGAATATTGCGGGCGAAACTGAACAGAGTGGGAGGTAGTGTAGATGTGGTCTGACACGACAGCCGTTGGCGAATTATGTAACAAGCACAATGGAGCACTTCCTACCCATCATTACGTTGGGCTTATACATGGAGTATATGAACAAATTCATTCGCAGCAAAACCTTCTGCGCGTATGCTAACTCTAACTTCTGTGTATATTCAGCCATTAAAGTACGGTACTTTCATCATGCTCACAGATCTTCCAGCTTACTTTCCACCGGGAAAACATCGGTGCTACTTCTTTTGACAACGGCGATAGCGTAAATTCCTTGCCCAAGCTCAAAACAGTGAGCGCACTATTGTATGAAGCTATGGACAACAAATGGTAGTCTCAATTCGTGTCGATTACGGTTGATAATGGGATCTAGTCTCCATTAGACGCTCACTGAAAGGGGGCTGGCAAAGACACCGTATAAAGATGCAGTGTGGCCTCTCAAACTTGTTCCTTCCCGATACTCACCTCTTGTCCGAGGGACACTTTCTCGGAAAATATATGAATTTGAAGTATTCTATACAGCGCGCGTAATTCAACTGACCGTGGGTAAGGTTTAACTCGACTAATTCCAGCCCTGACTATACTTGATCGTTAGACGTTCCCTGTAAACACAGGGATTACTTATCAAGGCATCTAAACTTCTGACTCAGATATTTATACTTTCTCCTTATCACAACCACCGATTCTAAGTGTAATCTACAGTCGATGTTTTCAACTCATCTGAGGTGTGCTCCGCAACGCCATATTGCTCCAATCACACGTACTGGATGCATTTTGACTTGGTGATATATCTTACCATGCACATCATGGTACCAATCTATCCATACGAAATAGCTTTTTACAGTCAACACCTCCATTGAGTAGGCTACGGGATATTTGCCTGGTAAGCCGACGAGCTGTGCCAAATGTCGGTTGGTAAGCCAGCGCATCTACTATGGGCATAGCCACATATCAGTCGTCAGAAAATCTATTTGTATAATTATGTGATTGGTCAGTATAGATAACAATATTCTATGTTGAGAAGAGATGGTGGCGACATGGACAGGTTCGAGGCGAGAACGCAAGCAATTTAGCTAGCAGAACTAATGCACAAACCCCAGGTTTCTCCAGAACATATGCAGATACCAACTGATCCCCAGATTGAGCACCGACAGGTTGGGCCGGTGCGGCGAGTTTTCGGCTGCGAATCAGTTTCAGTGCACCAGCCGCACTACACTTCCTGGGGTTGAGTCCGTACAATCTGGGGACTAGTCTACACTACAGTCAATCTATGACTAAGAGCTAATGTTTTCTCCAGATCTTGAGAAAGTGGAGGCTACATATGATCTCTATTAGCATCGTGTATCTGAGATATTGATCCCGCAGGAGGAATATAGTTAGGTAATGATTCCTCAAACACCTTTCCAGTTAGCATGTTTAAAATTTGATCACCTTAGCGAGGCCCTCATAACGGATCTCCTTTTTTCAAATGCTGGAACATTTCGTGATCATTAGTCAGATTCATGGTCGCCAGCTTGTAAGTACATGGCTCAAAGGCAAGAGATTACATCACATGACAAGCTCAATATTGTATCGGAAATGGCCGTGGGATGTTGCATGAAAATTTTGTGCAAGAAAAGAATTCTCATCAGACTTCCAACCCTGATAGTGAGTCAATTCGATTGAAAACATATCTCCTGAAATGTCGCGATGGAGTCAACATCAGGTTCGAATAGAGTAGCATCTGATTCGCGCAACGCCAAGGACATCATCCGACAAAGGCCCGGCCCTCACGCTAAACCCAAAGGCATTCAGCCGCCACCGCATTCCCCGACGTTGACACAGCTAAACTGCAGATTTTTCCAGCTAAGAACCGTCGGGACCTGCGCGGGATACATTTCCGTCGTTAATCCCGTAGATAAGCAACGCACTTGTACGTTCGCGTGCAGGCTAGACGCAAAACAGGAGCCGGAGACCCGCTCGTAGCCGTCTCGAAAATTTCGATCATGCTACCGTCACGGTTCAACCTGCGCGCAAATGCAACCAAGTCGCCCCCCATGTGGACCTAGGATGAAAATTTGGACAGTCGACGGGTTTTCCAGAGCGTGGAGTATGCCGACGGCTAACGAGATGGGTTATTGGAGTGGTCCACGATGACTCCACTGTTGGGGTCGTCAATTTTGATTGAAATATTGTCCATGGTCCTGGCTTCTTTGCGCTTCATCCTGATCGAATACATTGCAACTCTTTCGTTGTTGTCTTTCCATCGTCAAGCCCAAGCGCCGGGTCCACCGCTGACGCATCAACAACATCATGGCATCCGCTGCTGATCAAATAACGCCCAAGATGGACCAGCGGTCGGAGAAGTCACTTTCTCACTCAGGAAGCGATGTCGAGAAGCAGGCTGCCCCGCCCAAGGAGGAGTTGCAGCGCAAGCTATCCTCCCGACACTTGCAGTTCGTCGCTATCGGTGGAACAGTAGGAACTGGTGTCTTCATCGCCAGTGGAGGCTCAATTGCAACTGCTGGCCCTGCTGGAGCACTCTTGGCCTATGTCTTCGTCGGTACCCTGGTCTACTCCGTCATGCTCAGCTTGGCTGAGATGGCTACCTACCTACCCATCTCCGGTGCATTCACTCAGTACGCTGCTCGATTTGTTGATCCCTCGCTCGGTTTCTCCATGGGATGGATCTACTGGTTTTCTTGGTCAATCACCTATGCGCTCGAGCTCACAGCTGCTGGCCTCATCATCCAATGGTGGAACTCTGACCTCAGCATCGGCATTTTCATCACGATCTTCTGGGTTCCAATCACTGCTGTGAATTTCTTGCCAGTCGACATCTTCGGAGAGTTCGAGTTTTGGTTTGCCCTGATCAAAGTCGTCGCCCTTGTTGGATTCTGGATTTACGCCATCTGCATGAACGCTGGTGTTGGCGCCCAAGGCTACATTGGCTTCAAGTACTGGAACTCACCTGGCGCTTTCGCCCCGTACATTGCTGAGGGTCCTGTCGCGAAGTTTGTTGGTTTCTGGGCTGTTCTTATCCAAGCTGGTTTTGCCTACCAAGGTACCGAGCTCTGCGCCATCGGTGCGGGCGAGTCAGCCAACCCACGTGTGACCATGCCCAAGGCCATCCGCAAGACTTTCTGGAGCATCTTCATCCTCTTCGTCTTCACCATCTTCTTTGTCGGTATCTTGATCCCCTACGACAATGAATCCCTCCAAATCGGCGACACCAACGCTGGATCCTCGCCAATGGTCATCGCCTTCCAACTCGCTGGTGTATCCGCTCTTCCCGACATCTTCAATGCCGTTTTGCTCACTGTCGTTCTTTCCGCCGCCAGCTCTAACGTTTACTCTGGAAGCCGTATTCTCGTTGGCCTTGCAGAGGAAAAGTGTGCTCCCGCATTCCTCAAGACTGCCAGCAAGCGTGGAGTTCCATACTGGGCAACCTCCGTAACCGCCGCCATGGGTCTGCTAGCCTACATGAACCTCAGCTCCAACGGCGAGCAAGCCTTCAACTGGCTCTTGAACATTGTCTCCGTCGCTGGTTTTATTGCCTGGACATGTGTCTTGATCTGCCACCTTGCCTTCATGCGTGCGCTCAAGGCTCAGAACATCGACCGCGACACCCTTCCATTCAAGTCTTGGGGAGGTCGCCCTCTCGCCCTCTACGGTGTTACCTTTTGTGCCATCATAACCATCACCCAAGGTTTCACCGCATTCGTTCCCTGGAGTACCGAGGATTTCTTCATCGCATACATCAGTTTAATCCTCTTCGCTGTCCTCTACACTGGACACAAGCTCGTTACCCGAAGTAAATTCATCAACCCCGCGGAGGCCGACATCCACACTGGAAAGTTTGAGGATGAGATCTCCGAGACCTGGGAAGAGTCCTCTGCCAGTGGATGGAAGAAGATTATGAACAAGTTTCTTTGATTTTTCAGATGTCTCTGTATAATCTAAATGTTGGGCTTGAGTAACAAAAAGTGCTTTTTGGGAGCGTTTATCGAGGACCGCATGGCGCAGCGTTAGGTGGCGTACGATTGCATTGCATGGCGTCTATTATTCTTTTTCCTAACTTCGTTGAACCGATACCAATGTTGATGTTTTGAAAGTCTTCACAACACGTTCTTTATCTCGCCTGACTCATGTGCCTACAAGAGTGAAAAGTTACTATTGTTGTATCATACTAAGCATTGAACTTACAAAGCACTTTATAATCTCAGGAGAAAGACATTCGATAGCAAACAGGGGATCATGTCACAAAAGCCTGATGGTACATCACGACTTTGAAGCGCCACCTCCTGCCTCAGCCTCCTTCCCGTTTCGCCAGTTGAACAGCCACCACAGCACAGCTATGCACCGCCACACGATGAGGCTCAGCCGTCTCGGTACCGAAAAATCTCTTCACAAACACCAGGTTGGCTTGGGATGAGCGAAGCACAATCACTGCACAACCTGCCGCCCATGGCAAGAAACTCATGGCTTCAACGTAACGTGAATTACACAACGGGATCACTGACATCCCTCTCGCCATGAAGCAGCACGATCGCAGAAACGAAATACATTACACCGCTTTTATCGTGCATAGCTACTAAGAACAATCCACCAAAACACTGGGGGTATCATTGAAAAACATTCATCATCGACCACCCACCTATTCATCTACAATGATATCAAAAGCAAAAGAACCACACACCCGTTCCGCATAAAACAATCAAATCCTTCGATCCCACGCCCCCCCCCTCCCCCCTTTCCCCTTCCCAAAAACTGTCATCCACCCCAGCCTCCTTCATTTCCATCCCCAACTCACCCCCACAGCCGCACAACCTCGAGCACACCGAACCCCACAATGCCGACTTGTATTGCGCCCATCGATGGCACAAAGTTCATCATAGCGGCGCTCTCGGTGTCGGTATCGTTGTCAGAGCTCGCAAATCCTCCTTTGGGCTTCTTAGCCTTTTTGCTCTTCTTGCTCTTTTTCTTCTTGTTGTTGCTGCTGCTGCGGGCGGCGAGGTGCGAGTGCGCGTCGGTGTAGGCGTGGGCGGCGCGGGCGGTGAGTGCTTCGTTGCATTGTTCGATTGATGCGCCGGTGAAGGGGGAGGAGGGGGTTGCTGTTGCGAGAGTGGCGAGGAAGAGGGTTGGTAGTATGAATTTCATCTTTGATAAGATGTGGGTTTTTGTTGTTGTTGTTGTTGTTGTTGTTGGTTTTTGACAGAGAAAGATTGAGGTGTAGGAGCGTTGTACACACACGGGTGCGTGTCTTTATTAATGGTAAGAAGGATTTTTGACTAAATGGCTTGGTATGAATGCCGTTGGTGGCTTCGATAGGGACGGACTGGTTGGTTGGCGGGAAGAAATACTGAGTCGCACAATATTATATAGTCCTACCCATCCCACGATGCAAATTGCACGGCTCTTTTACCCAAGTTGAGCTGTACACATCCTTTACAACACAGCCCTTCTACACTGCCTGATACGTCGTGATTGCCGTTGAACAGCACAGCCTGCTTAAGGCCTGCCACGACACACATGATATTATACCGGCGGTCTGTAACTTGACAGGATTCAGACCAATCAGAGATAAGGTGAGCCATCACTGCAAGCCATGGAATTTAGGCTTACAGCTTGGCTTCCTTAGCGTGTCAGCTGAATAGGTTAACGATCCTACGTCGGAGTGTTAAAAACATGTTTTGCCAAGCTTCTAGACTAGCAGTTCAGCTGAGAACTCATAGTTGCATTTCCTGTAAATGCTTAGTGCATCATCAATGAACCTTGCTGGGGAACGACTTGTGTGGGCCGAACGCACGACCAATCCTCAGTGTGAAGCAGGATTGCCGAGATTGGAACTGTCGCGGACTGGATGATGGACGGCAATGTTGTTCGCATTTACGAAATACTATCCGCGTCCAGCTACAAAGAGGTTGCTTTCTAAAGATTGGTGAAACTTTTAACCAGACGGTGTAAGGTGCCCAGTTGTGCCCTTCTGCATAATGAACGAGCCATGTTTTATTGCTGAGCACGGCCCTTACGAACGCGACGACCCATACGATACTGTGACCTTTTGCTTATCATCTGCATCCATTGGCACTCTGTCTCCGGAGGGGGGTATACTGGAGAGGCGGATTTGCCGAGTTCGGGCTCGCGATGATGGAGAAGTGATACCTCGCATTGCTGCAGGGAAGAGTTGTCGCGCCAAGGGTCGGATAGCTGGAATGCTGACCGATATGATTCCAAGACTGCATTCACTCACGCTCATTATGAGACATGGCACGCTCTTATCTGCAGACCTCAGTCAGCCACTTCTCTCTCGCTGTCAGTCTGACCAACTGTTTCTTGATCTGTGCTGACGTGGATCTTTCAAATGAAGACATCGAGAAACATCGTTGGTGCTTTGGCAAACGCCATAATGATATGCGTAATGAAAAAGGCCTTCTTACAAGTGATGTCCAGAGCATGCAGACTGTGCAGAAAGCAAATGCGAATAATTCCTACTATGCAGGCACTAATCATACTCAGCACATGTTGAATTTGGGATCGTGGGACTGCATACCTTGCACCTCCTCCTAATAGCATACAAAGGATGATGCGTTGCTTTCGCGACATGTCCAATCTCCAAAAGTAAGGCAAAGGAAGTACACAAAGGGCAATATCGGTGATTATGTTCACCGCCGAACTCGCGTACAAATAGGCGACATAGTCGATACACTTGCGTTCGACCATAAATTCCCAAGCTCCATAGTATGGGAGACATTGAAAAAAGGTAACGAAGACACCTACGCACAGAAGAGTCAGCAGTGATAGGTTAGGGTGGTGATTAATGCGCTTTACCTGTAATCCACAAGCCAACAACGGGAAACATTGTCACGTACATCCACGTGTGGAATTTTTGGTCCGGGACAAAACGAAAATAGGAGGATATGATGGCGAGTTTTGTCAACGCGATTGCACAGGCGTATAATATCTGGCAAACGTAAAGATCCTGCTCCTTATTAGTGTCATCGAGTCACATGGATACTCTCTTTACGAAGTACTCTGCTGAAGGAGAAAGGTTCACATACCAAGATAATACTCTTCAACTTCTCGAGGACGTCTAGTAGAGGAAGGACCCAAATATGTTGACCAAGCCCGTGAATGGTGCCTGCTGCGGTGTTACTAACTATCATTCTGCTCCAAAGGGACCCACCCCACTTACCCACGATGCATGCCACTGCCAGAGCTACCGTAAATAACGCAGCAAATATGATGAGGACTAGATTGCATTAGCGAACTAACTAAAGCATTATCGTGTACGTACCATCATCAAAGAATATTTTGTGGACGTATTTGAGTCGTGCAACTATGCGTAGAGCAACAGTTAAGAGTACAAGGACAATGATCATGGTACATGATATCTTGACAAAGGGAACGTTGGAGGAATGGTCCGCGAAATTGAACTGGCTGATGTCGAACTGGTAATTACCAAAGAGGGAAGTGCCATTACTGAGCGGACTTGACATTGTGTGAGGGCTCTGAACTGTCTCTGGTCGAAAATGTAGGTAGAGTCAAGGTGGATCCTACACTGATATCAGTGTGCCTACAAATAGACCAGGCCAGGGCAGGCTCAGGGGAGCGTTTGGCATAAAGGTACAGAGGTGGGTTATCTTGGGTCAGTGCGTACGTAGTGGACGTCACATCTAGCTGGATTCCTAGGTCGTTCGCCTATCACCAATAGCGGCATTCAGGGTTTAGTGTCCTCGATGTTCTACCAAAATGATCGACGACGAAAACAATGACTCGCATGTACGACCAATTGTGTGATGGCGGAGGTGACAAGAGAATAGCCTCTGCAAGTTTCGAATGTGGGTATACGTCTGGTCCGGACGGCTAGATATATGCAAGCGCGGCATGGGAAAGTTAATTATCCCCAGATTCCCCTGAGATGACCGACCCAGCAGTAGACTCATAATCTAGAAGCCCACAAGCCCGTCTGTTGGGCGAGTGATGGCTGGGTTGCACAAATGAGGTTTCGCAAAGCTGCATCCGTCCAACCTTCGGTGCTCAACAGCATCTATATTAAGATGTTGCAGGACAACGGCACCAGGCATCAAATGAATTGCTTAGCGAACTGGTTGCCGTTTTCGCAACCTGCTCAACACCAGGTCATCTTGCTTGGCAACAGAAAGTCTTTCCAGAGCATGTTCATCTGTTTTGTTTGTGCAGAGTGGCAGCCGCACCAGCTTTCACAGAAACACGGAGACACGGCTGCAGGAGTAAGAGGCGCTTGTGGGCACCGGCTTATTGTTTCTTTTGTTAGTGCAAGTGATAGTTTCCGGTACGCCAGAGTTTGTCCATGTCGACGGTTCGTCGGAAACAACGGCGACTGGCGACTGACGCCTGCAAGGCTAGCCGTGCATCTCAACGATGATTGAAACAAGAGAGCGACGGCGTTGGCGGACAGAGCGAAGTGAGATGTGAGGTGTGTGTGGGGGTGTATTTGTGTGGCTGGAGAAGGCCTCAGGACGAAAGCGGGAGAGTCAGCTTCCCATCGCCTTCCGATCCCAGATTCGGGGCAAGCGTCCCGCCGAGCCGGCCTCTTCCATCTGTCAAATACCAACTGGTGCTCCGCGCTGAACACATACAAATCCTCCCAACTAAGTACTACACTACATGCAAGCACCACATACTAATTGCCCGGTATGTGTATCGGCATCTTCCAGGTCTAAGTAAAGTAAAGTCGATCTTCACAACTTCGGTCGCGACACATCACGCGGAGTTCCTATTCACTCGAGCACAACTCCAACACACGTACATGCTTTGGCGCCTCCAATTGCCGTGAAGCTGACACGCGCCTCTTGGTACAAGTATTACTTGACAAACGTTGATCTGGACGTCATGGTCGATCCGCCTTCTCCGCAAGCAGACCAAGAGCGAGCGAAAATAGCGCCGAGCCGTTGTCTGTCACGATACTCGCACTCGCAAACGGCAGAGGATCATCGCGGGCTTATCTGTCCTATCGCTGGCAACTTACGTAGTAATAGCAGCAGTCTGATCCCGACAACTCAAATGTGAACATCATCGCCCCCTATGCTCTATCTCTGACGACTGGTTACTCGCTGCTGGTTGCTGCCCATTCTTGGCTTCCCTACCATCTCGCCGCGAAGCCCCGGCCGCCGCGTAACCCCTCAGTACTATCCCAGGCTCTTGAGCTACCCATTCGGAGCCACTCCGGTATGGTTCCGCATTCTCACAGGTACTCTTGCTGAGCACTCGGGCGCCAAGATGGAGTGATTCGAGATCTTGCTGAGGAGAAGGTGGCTATGTCCATAACAAGACACGCTACAAGTGCCGGATCCAATTGAGCGATGAGCGCCACGCCGATGCCTATGCTTGCGCACCAGGATTACTGGGTACACTTCACCAGGCTGTACACCGCGCCCTGGACAATTCCGCCGTGAGTGTTCAGAAGTGGGGTAACTCCAAGGTAATCTTGCTTTTTTAGACAGGTCGATAAAGGTCGGGGCTCCCTTGACTACTAATCTTGATGCAAACAGCAAGATCGTCACATGACGGCACGTAGCAATCTTTTACATTGATATACAATCTATCTGCAGGATTAGCTTGTCCTCAACGCTTTCCCCATCTCACAACCATAATCTCTGCCGCCATGGCCAATTTCGCGCACCGTGTTTCGTATGTTGTGAGAGACAAGGACGATGATGACGACCCGAAGCCAGGACCACCGCCACCCAAAGAAACAAACTCTGCTCAAGCCGCCTCTGGCGCTCTTCCCACCGCGACCGAATCCTTGGCCAGTACTGCTCCATCATCGACATCCACAACATTGCCAACGCCACCAAGACCAGGAACATCAGAAACTTCAGGAACCTCAGGAACATCGGGATACTCAGAAGGATCGGGGTCATCAGGGGATAGTTTCGGCCCGGCAGAAAGTGCAGGAATCGGTGTCGGAGTCGCCCTTGCACTACTTGTCCTAGCCCTAGGAGCATGGTTCTTTATACGCCGCAGACGAAAGCGTAGAATGAGCAAAGCCTCGCTCGGCTCATCGACACCTGACACTGAAGCCGGCCTCGCAAACAAAGAATATGGCACACCCAGCATAAAAGAGATGGAAGCCGGAAGACGAGCGTCTGAGCTGGCTGCTCACATGGCCCCAGTCGAAGTTCCAGGCGACCCAGAGTTTGTGGCCGAGCTAGAAGGCTCAGATGCTGCTATCGGGGCGGTCAAAGAGAAGCAAGATCGCGAGCGTCTCTTTGCTGATGCGCCGCTGGATGAACCGGGTGACCGTGATGAGTTTGGGTTCAGCAGAAATAACAGTAGGAGGAGCGATGTCAAGAGCGGCATCGACTTCAAAGGCTCCGACGTCAAGAAATTTGACTCCTAGCGAGGAAGGGGGGGCGCAACCGCCACTGAATTTTCCCCCATAATCCGTACGTAGATTGCGAACGGCTTACGAATATACATGTAACGAATTTCTCTTGTTTCCCTCCAGCTTTCTAGGTTCCCCTCCAGCTTTCTACTTTTTCCAAGTCCAGAAGAGAGGGTGGTGGAGAGCAAAACCGGATTGGAAACGGGCGTTTCTTTTCTGGATAATCTTTCTACTAGCTCAACATACGTTACATGCGTCGTATTTACTTTGCATGATTGAGAGATGGTTTTGTCTGTCTCGGCCTTCATGGGGGAGCACGCTTCAAGGCACCTGGCCGGCTGGAAAGTGGGCGGTTACAGGCGGCGATATCGGCGAGGCACCTCGCGAAGAGAGATCCCACGACGAGCGCAGCAACGGAGACACATCGCCGCGAGTGGTGCCTGGCGGCGATACCATCAACAGTGGTACACTCCACCGCGTCAATTCGTTATTCGGCTGTGCGGGGTCGGCTTCGGATACCGTGTTCCAGTCTTTCCACTGCTTCAGTCGTTGCACGTACAGCTCTTCTGCTTCTTCTGGCGCATTCTGGGGTTTTCCAATTCCATCTACCTCTTGCGGACGAGTATCGCCATGGAGCTCGGGTGTTTGTCCTGCGTCGAGCTCATAGATAATATGAGCGTCGACTTCGACGGGTGGTAGTGGAGGTGGTAACGTTGCTGCAGACAGGACGGGTGGGGGCGCATGCGGCCACCAAGTCTTCTCTTGTTGCGTTTCGACACCTCCTGCTTCTGGTATCTGATGCTGCAATCCCTGGGCAAGAATGCGGTTCCGTCGTCTGATGGCCAGGAAAGCGAGGATGGCGATGAGGACGACTGATACAGAGCACGCTACGCCAATGGCAATGCCGCGCTTGATGCCAGGAAGCGCTGATTCGCCTTCCTCAAGCTGTTCCGCTCTAATTGACCGCGATTGCGTAGATTGTAGCGTATGCGATAGGACTGGGAGCGTGACCATTGTTCAGAGAATGTTTGATTCGATAATTTTGTAACAACAGTAGAACAGGATCAGATGCGACAAGCTAGAAGGAATATGATATGCATCTTTTGTTCAAGGCAGCTAGCTAATCGAAAGACTTGCCGTAACAACATTGGGCAGGTGGCTGCGGCGCAGCTGTGTGAATCTGGACAATATGCTGCAATCACGGCCCTTGTCGCCCGAACCATGCGGGAGGTGGGCTCTGGCGGTTACAGCAGAGATGGAGGGGGCGGAAATGCGTTCCTCTGAGCCAACCAAGTGTCCCCACACGAGGCAGTGCTGCATGCTTGACACCCCAAATTCAGCCTGCGCGACGGCGTTGCGACAATCTCCAGGTGGTTGGGGAGTCAAAGAAACCATCGTGGTGCAAAGAGGTGAAAGGCCGAAATACCATGGAAGGGGCGAGGCGGTGCAGTGGCTACGGCATTGTCATGTTGCGATGCAAATAGAATCATAGTATCCCCAGATCATGACCAGGGGCATCTTGTATCGACCCCATATTAACATTGCCGCATATCTCGGGTTAGGCGTTCTTCACCCACACATCCCGAATTTGACATCATGTTCCCGTCGTTTGGGGAGCCGCTGGACCCACAGTCATTTAATTTTCCGTGCTTTCTTGACTATTAGCCTGTGGCGGGCCTGCAATGTGTATCAGCCTCGCTGTTCGCCTAGTACATCCAAACCAAGGTCTAGTCCGCAGTGTGGAGCAATCGTTGTGTTATCCACCCGTCACCTACATGCACAAACTATCGGATAAAGCTCACCGCAAGCTTTAGCGACAATGCGTCGTCGGTAGTTTGGAATATGCTTAATGCTGTCATGTCGCGCCTGTATAAAGTGAGCACAGTCTCTTTTAGAAAGGTTGTAGTGACAGGCGGTCAATGGGATTCGACTTAGAGTTCGCTTGAACATATTGAAAAAGGATGTTGCATCGATACAGTTGCTGTATGGTTTTCGTTGTTATCTAGTCGTCTCACAGCAGCACATCAATAACCTTTCCCTTGGTGTACCGCTTCTCCACCGCCATACCACAGAGTGCCCGTGCCACAGTGCAGTCCCTTCTCCTGTCCCAAATTGAACTCTCCTCCGTCAGGAATCTTCCCGTTGTTATGCTCCGGCCAAAACTCCTTCTGGAGCCAGCCATTAATCTCTTCAATCTTACTGATTAGAGCCTTGATCTTTTCCGGATCGGAGACGCCTTGTTCGTTTTCAAAGTCCTTGGAATAGATGAATCGGCCAATGGTGAGATGGCTTGAGGGCACGACATAGCGAGAATCCACATTCAAGCCCGCATCACGACATAGAGAAAACATATCTCGGCGGAGGTGGTGATAGGTGAACTTGTCGTCCTCTAGGGTGCGGCCGTCATGTAGTCCTTCTCCGGCCGCCGGTACGAAGCTCAGAGCCAGCGCTGAAGCATCATAGCCAATCAAAGGCTTGATGAGACGCGCGCGGTGATCATACGTGTAGTCGGTCATGGCTGGGATCTTGTCCCGTACACTATCAACTAGCTTTTGGATCTCTGGGGCAGTCTTCGAGTGCGTCACTTCCAAAGCCGTGATATGGAGGTTGTCCCGCGGCATAAGCCAAAGGTCTTAGTACGTCAGCCTGTCTATCCTCGCTATTTAGCGGTTGTTACTTACTAGGTGCGACGGTGCGTAGCTCTTGCTGCACTCGATGTATCAAGTCTTTGACTTTGTGCGTTGGCCGCCCCCAGAAAACGAAGCAGTTACGCGGATCCTCGAACCCAGGTTCAATGGTGGGATCGCACTTTCGCAAAAGAATCTGATCTATGGTGACACCCGGAAAATCTTCTTGAAGCATCTTGGCTTTTTGCTGAGAGTTTCTCGTGGTGCGGTGTAGCTGGTACTTTTCTTGGATCCTTGCCTACGATGGCTGCTCAGCATGCTAATGATCCAGCGTGGGGATCCTCTTACCGGATCGTCTTCACAGGCTGCAATCAATGCATCGTATGGATTGCTGAAAGCTGAAGTCGAGATACCGCTAAGGTCCTCGAATGTGTTGGCCTGGTTGGACATGATGGTTCTCTCGATAATGTATTTGGGAAGCGGCGGCGGTATGTAGTGGATCAATTGCAATCGGCAGCCTTTGTACTTGTACTTGTACCTGCTTAACTCTGGCCACGTAAGATACGAGGTGTACAGTCTGAAGGGCGTGGAAAAAGGAACAAGCTAAGCAGGCTGCAGGTACTACTTGACTCGCCCATTGCCGTACCAATACCCTCCCCACCTAGGCAACCTATCCGCGTCTTGAGGCTATGCCTACTTCAAACAGCCTGCTGCATGTTCTCGCTCTGGACTTGCTGGCTGAGTAACAGACAATAATTCCAGTTCTATCACTGACCCACAATGGGTTTGAGTACATGAGTACGTACTTGTGTTATGACTCGGTGATGCGGGGCAGTGACATGGCCCATCTCACCCACGTGCTTTCGCTCTCCAACCGCGAACGCGTCGACGCATACGTAACGCGTACCGAACACTTCATTACCCTTTTTTTCCTTTTGTCTCTCGACCTATCTTCACTAGGCGTACCAATTTACTTAGCAGCGCGTTTTCTGACTATTATGATATCTAATATGTACATTATGGCTCTCGAGAAGAAAGGATACGGTGAAACACCAATCAAGCATATATTTTCCGCAGAAATCAAATGTTCAAACAATGTTTTATTAAGCAGAACTTCTAGCATAAGTTCTTGGTCAGGAATTCAAGAGATTTCACGACCATATCCAGCAATCGGCGGCGTGCATTGAACAGTATTGAGCTTCTTTTGCTCCAAGGCATGCCTCTTACCAAACTCATATTCGCCGATGAAACTCAGAAAGACGCGTAATTCAGCGGGAAATTATATTTCTATTGCTGTCATTGTATCATTTGTAAATGCGACTCTGATTACTGGCTCCAGAGCTTTTCAATTGTGGTCTTTGTCTATTCATTATAAGCGGCCATAGATATATCAAAGACTGGATCTGGATACGATGAAGCAAGAGATGAAGCTAAGTGTCCGAAATTTCAATCAAATAAGCAAACACATACCAGTGGTGTTGTAGTGCAAGAATTTCCAGTATGTGGACATTCTGCTTTGCATATCTCGTGTCGGTAATGCGAAGCACGTGTAAAAAGAGGCAGTGACGAGCATCTACCGAAATCCACCACTGCATAACTTCAATAGTAGACGGCGGTGCGAAATATCCATGCGAATTGAACTTGAGGTTCTTCCGGACATTCTTGCATCCACTTATGATGTGCAAGCGGTAGATCCAACTTTAAGCTCGTATCTACGTAGATCTAGCATGTAAAGCTCAGGACACCTCGCAGCTAAGTATGGTAAATTAATGTAAGCTTTCTCAGTCAACATCTCACAAGCAAGGGCTGCATTTGAGGATGTTCACAGGCGCTCATATTCCTAGACATTCTTGTGCATTCCACAGTGATTGTTCAAATATGCTCGGATCATTCTTGGGCTCTGGAACGAACTAGATCATCGCTAACATGCTTATTTTGACAATCAATACATCTTGAAAGTATACAGACGAATGCCCTTGAGCACTCCGTGATACAAGGTCGACTTGTAACGTGACCCAGCAGGGTGCGGCTACTGCACACGAGGACCGTGAAGTAGCCGTGATTTTGAGCGCGCAACCAAACAGCCTTCTTCGATATTTCATTGAGGATCATCAGCTGACGGGCCGATAACACGCATTCACGTGGCTCTCAATGTCATGCCTCTTGTTCACCGTGCTCAAGGAAGGCTTCGTGACCCAAAAGGAGATGCAAAGACCGCATGGAGACTTGTCGGGGATCACAACGACTCACCTTCCCGAGATTTTGCAGCAATCAACTTGAACAATAATGCAAGTGATGCAACAGTATCACCGTCGTCCCGACCTACTTGGACGGCACCCAATTGAATTCCTCGAAGCGGATGATCCATCAGGAGCTTAGAAAGAGGATGGCCGTTAAAAAAACAGGAGAGAGAACTGTTATGGAACTAGACTGGATAGTTGAGGCTCGAGACAAGTTGGAACAAGGTGTTCGCCGAGGTGTGCCAGCCGATCTTCCATCGTTTGTCAAGACTGTCACGATCGCATGGCTCATTCGAAGCGAGTTCGACAGGAACGTATTTGAAGCCTAACTTGACAGCAACCAGCTCTCAATAAATGAATATCGCTAGTCTGATGAACGAAATTCCGCCCCTAATCGTATGTCCGCCCCATATCGCGCGCGGATGGCAATTCCAACTGGAAAAGTTATTGTCTGCTCACGAGTCCAAATTATACAAGTTTCTCGTTTTAGATGAATACGCCTAGTTACAAGCTCCAAATGTCCACAATGTGCTGCCAAGTAGATTTACTATCGTTTCCCGGAAACTTTTTACACAGAAGTACATATACAAATTGGCTCATGTTTTTCGTCTTGCTTGAGTCAGCCATCACTAGCTGTCGCAGCATCAACGCTTCTGTCCACTGGGCCACTCATGAGATACCTAGTCAAATTCTTGTACACAAGACACATGCTTACGTAGAGTTTCAAAGACTCACAAAAGAAGGCGTTTTGGAATCAGCATTGCTATTCAGGAATAAATGTAACATACGAAGCCTTGAACCCCTGTTCAGAAAAAGGACATGACAGCTAAGCAGTACGTAGGCTAAGCTAAAGGTGCTGATGTCTAAATTTAAGGACTTGATGCTTAGTGAAAAGGGACGGCTCACGAGAATCGTGAACAAACTGGGGGTTGGGGTTTTCCATGGGGATGTGGCATCGACAGTGACACTTTGAGGGACTGAGGCCGTTTCGGCGTCCGGCAGTCCTTTTTTCTTCTATGTATAGTAAATGGATGTTCGCATGAAAAGGCTTTAAGCATTATTTACCATGATAGCTCCTAATTATTAACCGTCTTCCACAATTCACAGTTAACATAATCGACTTGTTTTCCTGGGTGTCTTTCCTTCTTGGTATGGTCACTACTTCTTGTCCTTTCGGGGCCTACATCTCTCTTCTTTCTCTCTTTTGCGGAAAAGACAACCAAGGTACAAGATCACACTATGGAACAGCTCTTTTTTCTTCGAATAGTACAAACGTTGGTCGCGAAGTGAATTTATTTTGAATAAACTTTGGTCTTTCGCAAATGGTATGAAGGGAGAAAAAAGAGTAAATTCCATCTGTTTCGCCAAACGCCTCGCCATATGCAACATCCCGTGTCGATTTCCTCACACCTTTTCGTGACTGGTTTTTAAATGACCCATCGGTAACTAGCATAACGACCTGCTGTCTCGGACTTTCGGATAATCTTGACAACAGCACCTCTCCTAAGGCCCAAGTACTTTGCAACCGGGTCCGTCGACTGAATTCTGGGTAGCTGAGTCTGCTTCAAACGGTATCGCTGTAGCAGCTGTTGCTTCTCTTGATCGCTCAACAGCACGTGCTTGGGTACAAGCTCGTGCTTTGTGATGTTGACCAGCAGGTCCTGCTCGACAAAGACCTCTACGCCGCCCTTGGGACCGTCGGTGATGCTCGTGGCGCCGCGGAGAAGTCGAATAGCCATACCGGTCATGGCCTTGACGGTGACCATGATTCCGGAGTGGAAGGAGCCGTTGACCAGATGTGCCATGTACTCGCGCAGCTGCTTCATGCCCACGTTCTCGTCGGCATTGAACTCGACCCAGATGGTACCGATGTTGGGGGTGGGGTTGGGGTTCTTTTTTGTCGGGGCGTCAGTGTACTTTGCCAGCATTTCCTCGGAGGGCTGGCAGGAAAAGTTGAGGCGCGAGCGGCTGCGAGTGGGTTAGTGCTGGCTAGAAGTGAGGGTGCTGTGTAGTGCCTACTCGGGCTCGCCGTCTTCGCGCGCATATCTCCGTGAGAATTCCTCGAGCGACATGTTCATGTCATCCTCAACCACCATGTAGCCCTTGAATCGAGTCAGCGCGCAGTCTGGCATTGCTCACGGCGCAACCTACCCGGTCGTTCATCATCTCCTTGGTGGTGCGCCAGACCCTCCAGAGGCGGATCAAGCTTGGGTTATACCTTTCGCCGTCCATGTTTGCAGTCTCTGGGATCGGAAGAGGGTTTCGGATACGGATGTGGTGGGGAACGTCGGCGCGAGCGTGGTCAAGGTTGTGTCGCGTCAAAGAAATCTCCAGAAGTTCCAAAGGTTCAGACTTGGCGTGCATGTGCGCTAGCAGCCCTAGCGCCGCTCTTGGGCTAACCCCACCAAGTGCGGCCATCTCGAGCACGAAAGCATGGCCTCGTCAAACGAAATCCCCAACCTCAAGACGCTTCTCGGCCAACGTCGCGGGGGGCCATCAAGAGGAAGAGGATCTGGAAGAGGCGAACTGGGGCGTTCTAGCGAAGAGCGAGCACAGATCCTGGACAATGCCGTCAAGGGTACCGACCAAGATGCTGCGGGGAGCAGGGTGAGCTGTGTAGAGCTGGGATATCTCCACGACCCATATGCCAAACTGTTCGCAACACAGCCGGCTACCAGAAAGCTGCCACTGCTAAACAGAGGAACCTACGTGCGCACATCGGCCATCGACCTTCTAGTCGCCAAATTCCTCGACACCAACCCTTCTGCGCCAAAGCAGATTGTTTCGCTCGGTGCTGGCACTGACACACGCTTCTTTCGTCTCCTCGACCGCTATCCGCAAGTGCGACTGATATACCACGAAATCGACTTTCCTACAAACACATCGTCAAAGATTTCTGCCATACAAAGGCAACCACTGCTTCACAAGAAGCTACTGCATATGCCCTCCAACTCGGACTCGTACCATTCAGATAACTACAACATCCATGCCCTTGACTTACGCTGTCTGGCCAATCCAACAGACGAGGCGCCTCTGCCTCAGATACCGAACCTGGACGCCAGCATACCTACCATGATTCTATCAGAGATGTGCTTGGTCTACCTCCAGCCTTCTACAGTACAGTCAATAATCTCGTCGTTGTTGACGCACTATTTGCAGCCCACGACGCCTGCTTCCCTTGTACTTTACGAGCCAATTCTACCGCAAGACGCCTTTGGTCAAACCATGATTTCAAACCTTCGGACACGTAACATCTACCTTCACACATTGATTGCGTACCCCGGGCTCGGAGACCAGCGCGCACGTTTACAGGGCTATGGGCTGAAGACTGGAGCAAAGGCAGCGGACACGCACACGATTTGGCGGAGATGGATCAATGCTGAAGAGAAAGAGCGCATCGCTGGCCTGGAGTTTCTAGACGAGCTGGAAGAACTTGAACTGCTGTTACAGCACTACTGCATTGCATGGGGTTGGAGAGACGGCCAAGAAGATGTCTTCTCCAAGGCATGGGAAGACGTCAAAGAGTAGATTTTGTAGTTTCTATGGATTTGTATGACTAGAAATACTAGGCTCGACAGTCAATCGTAAATATGAAATCCCCCGTGTGACATGTACAAGTTTGTGATGCTGTGGTTGTAGAGTAAACATCAGCACGTGCGCGCGCGACAGAGGACCTTACACGCTAAGCCCTATCCGACGGCGGTGCTTTGAACCCTCTCGTCCGACTGTTGCGACAATAAGGACTACACACCACCTACTCTCTCTAGACCCCGTATCAGCCTGGTAGCAAAGAGACGGTATTCAAATACATGCCATGGCCTAGTCGCGACTGTTTATTTCACATCTCTACCAACTTAGCTTCGCCCACCTCAATTCCAAGACAACAAACAAACAACGGTCATTCCCACAATGGCTGTACGCAACACGAACCAGCCATCCTTCAACTTCCTCACCGGTGAAGAGGAGCCTGCGCCTGCGCCAGTAGTTGCGAAACGAGAACCTCTGCGAGAAACCTTCCGAACCACATTGAGAGCCTCCCAGAATGCGCCGCACACGGTTGTGCCCTCCGATCCTATCAATGAAGACCTCCGCGCGCAGCTCAATACGCTGCGATATGAACTCGAGACGGCAAAGCAGGAAAAGGAGATGATGAAGTTGGAGCATGCGCAAGAACTGCGAGACGCTCAGAACCGTGCTGATACCGACTTTCGAAAGGCCCAGCAAGTTGAGGCTTCCAGCACTCAAACGGCCAAAAAATATGAGGCGCTTTCCAAGGAAATGGCCGAACTTCAGACACGCACTGCAAACGAGCGACTAGCACTGGAGAGGCGGTTGCGAGAGAGTCAAGAGAGGGCGCAATCGATACAAGAAGAGTTTGACGAAGTTAAAGAGGAATTGTCGACTTCACAACGCCAGAACGACCACAGGTACAACACCTTGCAGACCGAACACAAGAAACTCAAGGAGAGCATGGAGGAGGTACAGGTAGACTTGCAATCCAAAGTCAACGCGCTGCAGAACACACAGCGAGCGCTCGCGGAAAAAGAAGAGGAGGTTGGACAGAAGGAGGCCGAGATCTTGCGCCTCAAGGCAATTACAGGGGATGCAGAGACGCTAGCAGTCATTAAAAGGGAGCTCTCCGATCAGGTGGCACATATTAAGAAGCTTGAGACCTTGACCAGGGAGCAGAATGCTGAGCTGAAGCAATACCGGAAACAGCACAAGGCTATCGAAGTCGTAGAGGAGGAGAAGAGATCACTACAAAACAAACTGCGCATGATGGATGACCTACAGCGGCAATTGGGCGAAGCGGAATTGCGGAGACAGGTCCTTGAGGAAGAGCGAGACTCTTGGACTTCATACTTGGAGGCTGAAGCCGAGACACACGGCGAGGTACTCTTCGAAACACCCCAAGACCTTGCACGGGCTTTCATCCAAGAGCGGATAGAGAGGACCGATCTTCTCAACCGGTTGGGCGAGATCAAGCCAGAACTTTCGGTCAGAGAAGCAACGATTCAAGCGCTTGAAGAAGAAAAGGCCCAGCTACAAGCAGAGATCCAGCAGCTCAAGACAGTTGGAAGTACAAGTGCAGCGAACAGTGCCGATGCAAAGGCTCGAGCACGTCTTGAAAGACAAAAGGCTCTGGCAACCAAGGAGGTTGAGTTTCTGCGTGCTCAAGTAAAGGCCTTTGATGACGAAGAACGCGAAATGCAGCCTGACACATACGACCAAGCAAAGTCTGAGCGGATAAAAGAGTTGGAGGATCTTGTAGATCAATACCGCAAGGAAGTTGAGGCCCTACAAAAGGAGTTTAACAGTCTCGAAAAGCCCGCTCCCTCAACAGCAGGCCAAAAGCGCTCCCTGGAGACGGACGAGAACGAGGAACGCGTTGGCGAGCTACGACGAAAGAACCGACAACTACAAGACGACCTCCACGCGCTCCAAAAGAAGATGAAGATTGTCGAGTCCGAATACACAGCCCAACACACCCAACTCAAAAAGCTCAAGGAATCCTCCCGCACCCGCGTCCTAGAACTAAAATCCAACCCCACCGCTGACGCCGAAGCCCTCAAACTAAGCACCGTGCGCACCCTCCGCGAAGCAAACGCCCAACTCCTCGACCAGCTCGAAAACGGCAAACAGGCCCCTTCAGCCGTGCCCCTCGCCACGCTCGACGCCGCGCGCGACGAACTCGAAGAACTCAAAGCGCAACTCGCCTCTTCGTCGAAGAAAATCGTGCGCCTGAAGCAAATCTGGACCGCCAAATCCCTCGAGTTCCGCGAGGCCGTCGCCTCCATTCTCGGCTGGAAACTCGACTTTATGCCCAATGGGCGCGTCAAAGTTACCAGCATGTTCAAGCCTGCGGATGAGGAAGGGGAGAATAGCATTGTGTTTGATGGCGAGAATGGCACCATGAAGGTGAGTGGCGGGGAACAAAGCGTTTTCGCGGGTGAGATTCGCGATCAGATTGTTTATTGGGTCGAGGGTAGGAAGGAGATTCCTTGTTTTCTTAGTGCGTTGACGCTTGAGTTTTGGGAACGCGGGCCGGGGGGGCAGACGATGCATGGGTGATTTTGATTTTTTTTTCTCTTTCTTTTCATATAGACGAATATGGGAGGGAGTGGGCGTTTGTATTCGTGATTGTTGAGTTGGGGGCTTTTCCCTCTGGTGGAATAGGGAAGGGGGACTATATTAAATGATATCCATGTTTACTTTCTCCTCTTTCCTTCTACACTGCACCTTTTCTTACAGATATGGAGCTTTTTCTCTCTTCTAAGACACGTAATCATACCATCCCTAACCTTCTCATTTCCCGCTCTACATTCTGGTTCACTGGTGCTCTTGTATCTGAGTCTCTTGCTTCTCTCGGCCTATATGCCTGCCATCCTCCTTGTCTCATTCTACGATCGCGACTTTGGTCCCCCTTTAGCCACGAAAACCAGCCCATGACCCAGCACCACACGAAAAAAGTGGCGGCTAGGAAGTCAAAGCAGAGTAGCGCTGCGGTGCTGGGGTTGATCCACGCGGGCTTTGCGACTTTGAATTGGGACGGAGGCGTGGTGTGCGGATGCGATTCGTGGTCATCATCTCCTTTGTCTTCTTTCTCATACGTGGATGCACTCGTTGCGACGGCCGTAATAGTACCTGTCAGAATATTTGGACTCGTAGACCCTGAAGCATGAGACTTTGTACTCAAGTATATGTGTATTGTTGCTATAGGTGTAGCGGCGAGCGCTGGTATACTTGCATTCGGATATGCGATCGAGGGTGTAGTGGATGCTCGAGTAAGATGCGTGGTTGGTGCGAAATCGAAGACTGATATAATGAGTGTGGACGTGGTCGTTACTGTAACGTTGGTAATGCTGTGCGCAAGTACCGGGGTGGCTGCGTAAAGAATGAAAAGCCAGAGTCCAAGGAGCGTGAACATGGTGAATATGATGGGCTACAGTGCTTGTGGTACAGGTTTTCTTTGTGTCGATTTGCTAAGGTGTTTGGAAATGAATGGAATGCCACGTCTTGTAGCGAAAGATAGATGAACAGTTACGAAAAGGATAGACAGTGGGATGCGGAGAACATCAAAGACGACGCATGAGAAAACAGCTCTTATACAAAGAAAGGCCTAGTGAATGAGCGCACAATACACATGATTTCGCTCAATAGATGTTGAATTATAGCGAGAGGGGTGGCTTAGTGAAGGCGGAAAGCAAGCCACTGTTCTAGTAGTCGGTGAAAAGAATAAAGCCTCTCATATATACACATTCACATAAATCCTTTTGCCTTCATCTCGAGAAATAAAACGCCAGAAAATTCCGCCAAAACGTGCGCACATGATTTCGTCATGTCATATCTCATCATTGGGCCTTGTCCCATGGCAATGCGAATGTAGACACCCAGTCCGCAACTTCCTTCTTGAGCTCAAGAATCTCGGTAATATCTTCACCTTCACCAACGTATTCCTTGAAAGCCGCGACGCTGGTGGGGTTCTTGCGTCCACTCTCCTCGGCCTTCTTCTTGGCTTCCTTGTCCAGCTTTTGGGTAATGCCGACAGCACGATGCACAACGTCAGCTACGCGCTTAAAGTCGGAGGCTTGGAAGCCACGGGTGGTCATGGCTGGTGTACCAAGACGCAGGCCACCAGGCTTCATGGCTGATTTGTCACCAGGAACAGTGTTCTTGTTAGATGCGACGCCAACGAGCTCAAGGATGCGCTCCACACGTGCGCCATCAACGCCGCGATCCTTGAGATCGACAAGGACAAGATGGTTGTCAGTGCCACCAGAGACGATGTTGTAGCCCAGACCGCCATTTTCCTTTGAGTCGCCAAGTCGTTGTGCGAGAGCCTGTGCGTTCTCCAGCACTTGCAGCTGGTAGTCTTTGAACTCCGGGGTTGAGGCCTGTTGCAGGGCTACGGCAAGAGCAGTAATTGTGTGATTATGGGGACCTCCCTGGTGACCTGGGAACACGGATGCGTTGATGGGGCCTTCTAGGTCATAGAGTTCCTCTTTTCCTTTCTTGTCAACCTTCCTTACACCCTTGCGGTAAAAGATCATGGCACCTCGCGGGCCACGCAGAGACTTGTGGGTTGTGGTGGTGACGATATCGGAGTGAGGGAACGGAGAGGGGATGACACCAGCAGCAACAAGACCTGAAATGTGAGCCATGTCTGAGAGTAGGTAGGCACCGACATCGTCTGCCAGCTTGCGCATGCGCTCGTATTCGATCAATCGACTGTATGCCGATGTGCCAGCAACGATAACCTTGGGTCTGTATAGATGGGCCAATTCAGCCATTTTTTCGTAGTCGATGATGCCCGTCTTCTCGTTTAGTCTGTATGGGAGGGTTTCGTAGTACTTGGAAACGGCAGAAATCTTCTTGGTAGGGGTTTGGTAGCCATGGGACAAGTGGCCGCCATGGGGCAGGTCGAGACTGAGGATACGGTCGTGTGTGTTTAGGACAGCTGAGTAGGCATAGAGGTTCGCGGGGGATCCGGAGAGAGCTGGCGCAGAATTGTCAGCTATTATGTGGTTGTTGTTATCATCACGACTGACTCACCCTGGACATTGACACCCCACTCGGCAGGGTTAAGACCAAAAGTCTTCAAAGCCCTTTCCTGGCACAATCGCTCTGCCTCGTCAATGTGCTCATTTCCTCCGTAGTATCGCGCGCCTGGGTATCCTTCCGAGTATTTGTCTGTGGCGTGGTATTAGCTTAGCGTAGTGTTGGGGCGGCGTGAAGCCTACTCTGCATAACACTGCCGAGAGCATCGAGAACTGCTTGCGAGGTAAAATTCTCCGAGGGAATTAGGTTGATAAAGTGCTTCTGGCGATTCTTCTCCTGCAGTGGTGGTATTGTGAGTATATGCATTCTGGCTCTAGATGCTAGATATAATAACGAACCCTGTTGATAATTTCGTAGACGGTAGGGTCTGCCTGTTCAAGGTCTTGAGAGAGGATCTAATGCTTGTTTAGTAAGGTCCTTATCTCAAAGTTGTGTACTATAGAAGGCACCTTTTGCTGAGCATCCAAAGTGGTAGCGTAGCCCCGCCATTGTCGCAATGATGCTCGAGGGGCGATTGAAGGCGGGAAACGAGAGGAGAGGTGGCGCAGAGGCGCTCTGCAAATCGGCCTGAGGGACGCCATGAGTACTGCGGTGTGTAGGGCTCGAGGAGCGTGGCGCGCAAGTTTATAAAGACAGCCGCGATGCAGCCGGACTCGTAGTCTCGAAGCGGCAACCAAACGATGAGCTCCGCTTAATGACGGCGCGAGAGCGGCGCTGTATGGTCGGGGTGGGGTGCGTCGGCGCCGATAAATCGTTTCTCCGGCGGGAAATATTTGCACTTCGGTCGCGCGTCGCTCCGCCTCTCTTTTTCTCTTCACGTAACTAAACCCGAGATGATATGAATGCTTTGCTTCAGTCGCATCCTCACTTGGCCGGCGCAAGCTGGTCGACGTGGGAGCTGCTGACACGCCCCGGCACCCACCACCTAGGGGGACGAGACTCTCTATGATCGGCCTACGTTGCGTAGATGCGTCGTGGCATCCATTGCCCAAGCTCGAAGCATTTTGGAATACGGTGTTTTCGACTTGTTGTCGTGGTCCTGACGCGGCCATATGTACTTGTGTGTAGCATACCAAATTCAATCCCCTTGTTTTACTCTGCTGTATTTCCATGTCTCCATCTCTTTCCTCTTGCCTCTCCCTGTCGTATCGCGACCCAATGGCCCACGTGACTATCTCTCCATCCAGGTCCACCACAGCGAAGAATCATGGACAGACGATATCGTCTTGTATACATCTAAGAATCCTTACCAACCTAGTACACAATAAAGCCGTGCTAGTTACCTACCCAGCGGACAGGAAAGCAAAACTCCTACACAGGCTGTGCTTCATATCGTCAGCAGTACCGTTTACTCGCGTCTTTCTGATTATCTTCTTGGTTGCGAATATCACTCTAGCATAAAGTGAAGATGGTACGCCTAAGATTGGAAATGACTATAGTGAGTATCGTGGTGGTGATATGAAGCCCCAAAGTTGCCAACTCTCTGGCGTGTCATTGATTTTGGTTGGGTGGCCTGTGGAGAGAGTCGCCTTTCTTGACCACTCGGTGTTTCCCCTTTCTGTGTCCACACACATAAAACAACATCCGCCGAAGTCCGCCGCTTATGAGACTCCGAGATAAATCCGATGATGAGATAGGCTTAGCCCACCCTGGTAATGACCTCGGCATACCCCAGGTTCTCCACAATTGGGGCTGGTGCTTGCAGTCAGCGCCGAACAGAAACAGTATCCGGACGAACTAACGTCATTGTGGAAGTCCGGGTAACGACTTAAAGTCTCGGGCACTCGCGCGCGTCTCAACTCCTTCCTACACTTCGAATTGAGGCTGAACATTAGGTGAGTCCCTGCAGGGCCTCCAAAGCTTAGCGCATAACTAACGTGCAAGCAGAAAGTACTCAACATGCCCTTCTATCCTCCACCATGGGTTCCAAAGCTTCCATTCGATCCGCCCGACTCGATCCCCATCTCCGACTTCATGTTGGATGAGAACTACGGCCGCCATCCGCTTGGTTATTCACACAATCCCTTTACTTGCGGCGTGACAGGCAAGACGTATGAGAGCCTCGAGGTTCGAGAACGCGTCGACTATCTTGCCCGGGGGTTGGCCAAGGAGCTTGGCTTCGACCCAAACAAAGGATCCGAATGGGACAAGGTCATTGCTGTCTTCTCTCTGAATACCGTGAGAACCTCCAATCAAGCGCATATGCTAAAATACTCACATGAATAGATTGACACACTCCCCTTGGCATGGGCCACCCATCGCTTAGGCGGTATCCAGACGCCCGCCAACGCTGCCTACAGCGCCTCTGAACTCGAATATCAGCTGAAGAACTCGCACGCAAAAGCTCTCTTCACATGCGTTCCTCTATTGGAAACGGCACGGGCAGCCGCTAAGAACTGTGGAATCCCTGAAAACCGCATATATATTCTCGAGTTGCCAGAGAAGATCGCGGGAAAGAGCACACCCAAGGACAAGAAGACGGTGGATGACTTCATCCGCGAAGGCTCAAAGCTTGACCGCTTACCACCATTGAACTGGGGGGCCGGTGAGGGTGCTCGAAGGACCGCGTTCCTTTGCTACTCCAGTGGTACCTCTGGTCTGCCTGTAAGCAGTGACTTCTGATAGCCTCTTGCGACTATGCTGATTCAGATGCAGAAAGGCGTCATGATCTCACACAAAAATGTCATTGCCAATACGCGTAAGATGTCCTGGATGCATCTAAAGATAACAATAGATCTAACAATTCTTAGTACAAATCGCAACTTTCGAAAAGCCGTACCGAGACACCATCATCAACGATGTACGAAACCAATCCGACTACACTGAAATGACACTGGGTCTCTTGCCCATGTCGCACATTTACTCGCTGGTTGTCATTTGTCATGCCGGCGTTTACCGTGGCGATGGTGTGGTGGTTTTACCAAAGTTTGAGTTTGAGAATACTTTGCAGGCGATACAAGATTACAAAATCAACGCGTTGTTCTTGGTAAGCATAATGTGATCCTGGACAGAGACACATGCTAACGGATAAGGTTCCCCCGATCATCATTCAAATGACGAAGAATAAAGACTTGCTCAGCAAGTATGACCTCAGCTCCGTCTGGTCACTGTTCACCGGTGCAGCACCTTTGGGACAAGAAACAGCCGAGGATCTGCAAAAGATATTTCCCTCATGGAAGATCAGACAAGGCTATGGCCTCACGGAAACCTGCACTGTTGTAACCTCATCGGCGCCGGATGATATCTGGTACGGCTCTTGCGGCTCCATAATTTCAGGTGCAGAGTGCAAGATTGTAACTCCCGAGGGTACCGAGGTCACTGGATATGACCAACCGGGCGAGCTGCTTGTCAAGTCGCCTTCAGTTGTGCTAGGATATCTCAACAACGACAAGGCCAACCAGGAAACATTCCAGGATGGTTACATGCGTACTGGAGACGAGGCTGTCATCAGAAAGTCGCCTTCTGGCAACGAGCATGTGTTTATTGTCGACCGCATCAAGGAGTTGATCAAGGTTCAGGTACGTCTGAATATACCATCTGAGGCGTCTGTTGCTAATTACCACCTAGGGACATCAAGTCGCGCCAGCAGAACTCGAAGCTCATCTTTTGACGCACCCTGCTGTCAATGATTGCGCTGTGATCCAGATTCCAAATGAGAAGACTGGAGAAGTACCCAAAGCCTTTGTTGTCAAGGCAGCCTCTGTGAACTCCAAGGATGACAGCACCCTTGCGCGCGAAATCCAGAAGCATGTTGAAGACCACAAGGCGAGATACAAGTGGATTAGCGGCGGAATCGAATTCATCGATGTCATCCCCAAATCACCGTCCGGAAAGATTTTACGACGAATGTTGAGGGACAAGGAAAAGGAAAAGAGAAGACAGACCGGAAGCAAGTTGTAGGATAGGGGAAAATCTTTATCACTCTTATTGGCACAATAGTGCTATCTGTAAGTGATATGAGTTCAGTCGCACTGATTACAATTAGATTAGCGCTACTTAATCTTTGGTTACAGCGGTCTCGCCCTTTAAAAATAGTCACAATCTTCGCAATTCTAACATTGTTTCAAGAGTCACACTGCCTTTCAATCGTACACGCCCAGCATATTCGATACACATGCGGTAGCGAGAATTTTTGACAAGAGTGGGTCGAGCCCTATTTGTTGCACTGTCCCCACAGCACAACCTGCCTACCACTCAAGAAGATGCAGATGCATTCTGCTCGTCGTTGACGGACCAAGTCAATTCCCCCGAGATATTTACGGACTACTCGACAAATTCTCTTCATGCACAGTTCAAACATGGCTCGGTGGTGTAGTTGGTTATCACGTCAGTCTAACAATCAGTTAGATGCACTGAAGGTCCCGAGTTCAAACCTCGGCTGAGTCAACGTACATGTCTTCTCTTTCTCTTACTGGGAAAGAAAAAGAACATATCTTTTTCTTTTGTTTTTTGTTTTGCTCCGACGAGCAAATATACCTGGTACTTGCATTGCGGCAAATGCCATACTTGTTCCTGATCCACTCCCTGGACTAGGGGAAAAAGAAAGCAACTCCCACGTTCCTATGCCTCAATCTCTCTATTCTTTTTTTCTCAATGTCAATTTCACTAGCGAGTCCCTTGATACATGACGGTACTAACGCCACATTTTCTTCATCAAAAAGCAAACAGCAAGGCTCGGTGGTGTAGTTGGTTATCACGTCAGTCTAACACCCTGTTAGGCACACTGAAGGTCCCGAGTTCAAACCTCGGCTGAGTCAACTGTAACAGCTACCTCGTCGGTAGCGAGCTATCCTTTTTGCTACTACAATCGTTTTGTGTTGTTGGGGTTCTTGTTCAGTAGTGTGGTGTGCAAGATCCAAATTTTTTTTCCCCTTAGCAAAGTGGAGACATAGAAAAGGCAAAAAAGCCTCGGCCCACGCAATAACTATGCGAACGAGGGGCTGGAACTCGTACTACATAGAATATCATCCCACTGCGCCGTAGGGAAAGAAAAAGAATAGTAGTCCAGTATACACACGTTCGATGTAACATTTAGATTTGTTTTTTCTTTCTCCCGAAACTACCTACTGGCATAGCAGCCAAAACAAGAAAGTGGTGTATGGGTCGATCTGCATTGACCACTAGGAGGAAAAAAACTAACATTCGGACCCACGAACATCCGCTCCACACAACAAACATCCTTACTACTGCAACCAACCAACCAACCACCACTACTACCGGCCAGCCAGCACAACTATGGCAAAAAGAATAAAGGTCTTGCCCGGAATCGAACCGGGGTTGCCGGAAGGCTCCTGAAAGCAAATCAGAATCCGGAGTGATAACCGCTACACTACAAAACCGATCCACGAGCTGTGATTGGTTGTGTTTGTTGGGAAAGAGAAGAAAATAGTGTGTATATAGCCTTGATTGTAATATCTTCATAGCAAGCTAGGGAGTCAGGAAAGCAACTTTACAGGAGTACAGTGATGTCGTGGCTCAGAGTCTTGAGGATAAGATAGGACAATTCAGCGAAGTGGATCAAGTGGAAACGCGAAAAGAGGTCACTGCAGTCCAAATGCTATCTGAACAGGGATATGTAAACCTCACTACAAAGAGAGACTCACTCTCCACACCCCACGTACCATGTATACACATATGCACATGTGGAGTTTGTCTAAGAACCGAGGCCATTGGTAGTACAATCACCGGTTTTCTTTTCTGACACGGATGAGCGCATTAATTTTTCAAAGTCGATGTACCATTCATTCTTTCTGTGGACTATCAACCTATGAACCACCATAATCCTAGCCTCGATGCTCTAGTGTTTCACACTGCGCGAATGGCTAGTATTGTCGCTATCCTCTTCCACGCTTAAGCAAGAACAAAAGTGGATATAAAGCGGATAAAATAAAGAAGCAGAAAAGCAAAGATTGCTATGTCGATAAGCTAATCAAAGAGAAAAAATAGTGGCGACGAGCTCCTGTTTTGGGTATCAACAGTATACAGCAAGTAGAAGCTGGCTTGCAAAAGAATAATTACAACGGGGAATAGAGATGTAGTGTTTGCGCGTGAGCGCGATGGCGTCTATAGCCTTGTTGGTCCGCCCCCTATGAAAGTTTGGCCGAAATGTAAGATACAAATGGCTTTAGAAAAACGATGATAGGAAAGATCTAGTTGAGAATGATGAAACTCAACACTGATGACGTCGAGTCGTATGGGTCATTACCCTAGTATGAAGAAGAAAAGTGATAGGCAATAGCTGAAAGTTGAAATGCGTCCAAATGCGACAGACAACAAAGCAAGGCGGCGAGAAGAGATCGACCATTAAGCATGCCCATTACGCATGAACAAATCGTGACCGGAAGTAGCTCTTTTTAGAAGTTGCGGAAGGGATCGTTACCAATGTCGAAATCGAAGAGACCAGCACCACGACTAGACTGATCACGGGTGCTAGTGCTCCACTGGCTACTTCCACGACGACGACGGTGCTGCATGTACTGTGCCCGAGCTGAGCCACTGGCCGAATGCTTTTGATCACCAAGAGCGTTGTCAATAAACGCCTCCATGCGAACGGTGCCCATGGTATCGAAAAACTGTTGACGGGTTGACGTGCTAGCCTCAGAAGTTCGGGAACTCATTGCACCACCTGTGGGGTTGTATTCTGACGAGGGTATTGACGGTGGTACGCCAGCACTATACATGTCGGATGAGCCGTTCGAGTATACCGACGGTACATGTTGGTGGGAGAAACTTCGGAATGGAACACTCGGAGGAGGCGCGCTTGGGCCAGTCGAGCTCCTCTTCCTGCTGTGTTGTGGACCACGTCGAATAACAGGTGGGCTGGCAGGTTCTTCTTCCAGTGGCTCTTCGAGATTGGGGAATGAAGGCAGACTAGGCATAGGCTCATCCTGCAACGCGTAGCGTGCCATAACCGGGTTTACCCGGCCTTTCGCCAGACGCACTGAATCTTGAACGCGGCTACGTCGAAGTGTCGCACCTTGGCGATGTTCAGGTTCCTCAATTGGCGGTGGTACAGGTGGCAAAGATCCAACATCCGGCATGGGTGCAGTTGAACGGGCAAGGAAGGAAAGCGCCGTCAACCACAAGTAATGGCGCTCACGCGACGTCGTAGTAAACTTGAGAGCGCGCATTGGGGTAAGGATGAGGATTGAGCGGTTGAACAAGGTCTCATTCTTGGGAGGAGGGCAGTTATCTGCAACATCGAGAACAGACTGAATGATGACTAGGAATATGTTAGCTACACACGATTTTGAAGATGAAAAAGAACTCACGTTTGCGACCGCTCTTTCCCATCAGTGCAGATCCAGATGTTGGCTGCTTGCTGCTCCAGAGAATTGCTCTCTCATACGGTGAGATCCAAACCCAACGTTTGTGTCTCACGCCATGGGTGGCCAGAGAAGCTTCTTCTGCTGCCCGATTGATGTCTGTTGATGTCTCAGGACCGCCAAAGGGCTTCCTCTTACGGACATATTTCCACATGAACTCTCCAATCATTGATGCTGCAATTGCATCAACAACACTTGTTTGACTGGCCGAGCTGTTGACAGAGCCATTGGCAGTATAGCTTGTGGCTGCGGTGGCGTTTGAAAGTTGATGTCGGTGTTGGAAGCCACTAGCACTGACAATATCGCTTGGGAGCGGTGGGATTGAATAGGTGTCGTCATTGTTTGGAGTGGCTGGAAGCGTGGGAGACCTGCTGCGAGAGCGGCTAGCCTTTGTTACAGGAGCAGCGGATCGCACTTTCCGTATACTTTCTTTTCTTTGATGCTTCACGCCATACGGACGGCGTCCAGTATACGGACCGCTGTTACGGGGTGTCGGGCTTTGCGAGCCCTCGCTTTTGCTCATTGGTTTGTTGCGTGAACTGGACCGGGTAGGAACTGGGAATGGTGGCTTGGGCAAGTAATTGTTTGATGTTATACTGCCAACACTTCCACTGCGAGTACGGGCGTGAACCGCAGAGCTGCTCTGTATCATTGCAGATCGACGGATGCTGGGCTGGCGGCTAATCACTGTACGTTGAGCCTTGCCGATCTTGACCGGTTTCTCCATGGAGCTACGCATTGAAGGCATGTTCACGCTGTTAACCGAGTCCACTGATGGCCTGGGATTCGGCGAGGTTTCCTTGTCTTCTGGCACAGGTGTCGGAGGGTTTACTGGTCGTCCATTCTTCGCATTCCGTGACGATAGCATTGCCGTAGAGTATTGAAGGCCCCTGAATTCATCATCGCTGAGTTCACCTTCTGCGTCTTCTTCCTCAGACGACGGACCATCGAATCCAGCGAACAGACTGCTTGTGCGGAATGGTCGACTAAGTGCGTCTGAGTGCATCTGACCAGACAATGGCCCGTTATCATTGTTTCCAGGATAACGGTTCTCCACTTCCCTATCCGCAGCCTCTTCGAGGCGAGCAGTGAGATTTTGGCGAGCAGCTATCTTCGATGTGAGCTGTCCAGGGGCATCTGTGGCCAAATGTTGGAAATCTTTTCTGGCGACTCCATCATTGTTCGTCTCGGGTGTTCCGGGCTTAGAAGAAATAGCAGACGGAAGGAGATGCGGCGGGAGCTTGACCGGTCTTTGGTCAATCCTGATGGGTTCGGTCTGCATTGCCGTTGACTGCATTGGAGCTACAAGATCTCCACTTGTCTGTGTCGATACAGTCTTGGTGCCCGGAGGAAGAATAGGAGCTTTAGGTGACGAAGGCGCTGATGTCGGGGCGTGGATGGCAATCGACGGGATTGGAATAGGAGCTGGCGGATTAGCTCTCTTGGGTATCTCAGGCGCAACATCTGGTTGGACCAAGGTATCTGTCTGTGTGGCTGTGGAGACTAGCTCAACTTGAATGGCTTGTGGCAGGAGTGCCTGTTCCGAGGGCACAGGGATCTTGGGGGTAGGCGGCGGGCTTAAAGGCTCAACGGTCTGTACAGAGCTCGATTTCATGATGCATGTTTCAGAGATGACATGGGGTGTTGAGCTGGCGCTCACGGGCACAGACACCCGTTTCCGACTCTGGTTGGCTTCTATTTCTGCTGCAGTAGATGCACAGTCATTCAGTTTTATCTGAGGAGAAGGTTCGGTGGTTTGCGAACCCGCTTCTATCATTACCGGCTTGATCGGGGATGGTGGAGGAGTAGGTTGGACCCCAGTGTCAACATAGAGAGGGCGTGGCGGTGGAAAGACTAAAACGGTATCGCGTGACGTTAGGGTCACAGAGGACTGCTCTGTTTCGTAGGATCCCTTGCGCGGCTCCGGCTCCTCGACCAATGTAGCAGGGCTATCCCGAGTGCCATGCTGGGACTCATTACTTAAGCCTAGGATGCGTTTTGCTTTTTCGTCAGGCAACATCGACTGTCGCGACTCCCGCACCCTACGCGCTCTCATCTCATGCTCGGTGAAGTCATCAGAATCAAGCTCCAGCTCGTCCAGTTCCTCCTCCTCCTCGTCAAATATGAGTTCATCGGCAAGACTCATACCGTTTCCACGAGTGTACCCATCAGCGCTCATTAGAGACATACGGTAATTCCTTCCAATGCTCTTCCAACTGCTATTACTTCGATCCCTGGAGTGGCGCCCGATGCGAGTAGATGGTCTTCGCTGGGGCGAAGAGCGTACGCTGCCTGCTTCACTCTCTGGCACGCCTGCATCTCCGGCAGCATCTTCTGTATCGCTTGCGATGCGAGCCTCTTCATTGGCCTTTTCGTGCATGGCAATCTCGTCCAGAAGCATCTTCAGCCTAGTTTCGGATACGTGAACCCGTCGTTCCAACGCTCGTTTTTCCCCAGCCCATTCTTCTTTTTCGCGAGCCCACATGTCGTGCACCTTGGTGGAATCGTCATCTTGAGTTCGAGTCCTTTTTTCTGCTGCAGCAAGCTTCTGCCGTAGATCAACGTTGGCTTCCTTCATTTTGTCTCTCTCCCCTGCGATCTCCTCCAAGGCGGAAAGGGTTTCATTCTCAAAGTGCTGAAGCTGGCGCTTGGCTATTTTGCATTCCTTGTTGGAGGAAGCCAGCTGTTTGGCAAGTGTTTCATTGTCAGATCGGGCTGCATCTAGATTGGCCTCCAGATCATCGATGAATCTGTGTTTCGAATCAAGTTCCCGACGTAAGTTAAGAATCTCCGAGACTAGGTTCGCATGTAATGTTGGTGTGAAACGACGGGGGTCAAGAATTGAGATGTTCTCGTCGTTGGCGGCGTCCCCTGAGCCGAACCCTCGGTCAGGTGGCATAGGAGGCGGCGAACTGCCAATGTCGCTGACTGGTATCTCATGATGGGAGCTCCGTCGTGATAAGGAGTCGTATGGAGTTCCAGCGGGTGTGGGTAATGAACGGCTAGCAGCGAAGGCCTCGCTGTCCGAATAGTAGTCGGTAGACATGTTGAGAAGATTATATTGAGGCAAGGAAACGATTGTCTAGGAGAGGGGGTCAGAACCACAACAAAGTGGTGCTGCGGGTGTGAACGGTTCAGCGCATGCCTATGGTCCAAGTCAGATTCCGAACAGAGAGGCACGACGAACAGGTTGTGGGGATTTTAGTGACTTGGTTTAGCTCTGTCCCAAAAGTACCAACGAGTACCTGAAAGCGGGGAAGAGATCTGCAGAGTCCCACGACGCAGTAGCTGCTAACAGCACTGAGGCCTACGTACCGGTTGAACTCGCAACAAAACGGTCTGGTGTCGGACGCTCAGTTATTCGGAAGAAGTACAGGCAAATTTGCGATCGTGTGCGGCGTTGTGACGTATTATGTTGTAGGGACGTTGGAGTAAAAGAGTACTGTGGACAATACAAGGAGTGCGACAAATGACGTAGAGTAGATCGCTCTGGAAAAGAAAGAAGAAAGACGGTCAGGTAGTGCGCAGCAGGAAGAACGACAAAGAGAAGCCGTGTAATCTGCTACACGACGCGTAAGAAGAATGAGGAGAAGGACAAGTGGGAGGGACGAGGCACAACTTGAGCATTGCATGCACGACTCGACCATGCATCAGGCTGGGGCAAGGGACGCAGGCACAAGTACGCACAGTCCTCTGGGGGAGACGGGAGTGCCACCAAAGTAGCAAATGAAGATCGCAGAATCAATCAAACCCCATCTGTGCCTATTAAATTTGTTTCGACCTCGGAGCCCGCGAGCTTATGCAGAGCTTCCTACTAGTGCGCACAAGTGACCCTGCAGGCATGCACTTCGTATACCAAGGATCCCCTGTCGCACGAGTCGTCCCGCGCTGTAGCTTTTGCCTGCTGGTCATTGGCTGCGGTCCTAGGTCTAACGTTCCGTGACATGCGTCCCGCGAAGATGGCCAATGTCAGAGCAGGTTACATGTAAAGGGAAATGATGATCCGAGTGTGGTTGGCCGTATCGAATCCAGCTGGGCAAAGGGTGTGATTGTGCGCAAAGATGCGCTAGCGAGTGAGAGGCGCAGATGTCTAGGAATGGCTGTCAGCTCGTTGCGAAGAAAAGCCCGTATCGGCAGTCACGTCAAAAGGGGACAAGTCGTCATAGCGAGAATGTGTACAAGAGTGGCAGTCTCGTGTCGGTAAAAAAAAGAAAAGTCTGGCCTGTCCGGCGGAATCTTTAGCTAAAGTCGGTCGGCGTTCATTGTGCGGTCCGGGCAGGTAGAGGCGCGATAGCGCCCAACTACCCGGCGCGATGCCGTTAGGTTTCAGCTTGTAATTTGAGCATCGATCCTGATACCGTCCACGGTCAAATCGTCCTTTGAACCTACTGCACTGCAGCCTTCCCGACTGGCTGAAAATGTGGCTATACATGGCGTTGACGGGGAAGGCAATTGCATGGACAATCAGCCTCACCCTATCCATCCGAACACCCCCCACGGAGTGAAGCTGCGATATGACTTTCTACTTTGGGATCAAGGGATGGCCGTGCGCGCTTGGCGGTGGTAAAGGAGCCGAGCATGTGTCTAGATCGACAAGATAAATGTCCAACTTGGACCTGCCAGGAGCTATTCCAGGATCCAGCTTTGCATACTACACCAAGTATGTAGGTGTGTATTCAACTTCCTGGTCGTCATGCATTCGATGCTGACACGACTCGAAGACAGGGTCGGTCACGTCATGTTGCCTGACCTGGACAACCTTTCGATTAAGCAAGGTCCCGCGGCATAGCAAAGGCATTGCGTTGCCGGCGCGTCTTTGCCTGGAGGCTTCTCAACAATCAATCGATTGTTCATCCTTGCAGCGCAGCGCAGCGAAGCCAGTCGTCGATCAATAGTCGTGGGGCTTGTCAAGTACTGTACCGATTCGATATCCAATATAATACGTAGATTGCCTGCATGTTGTCCTGGTCCACCTGCAGGCGCGGCGAGTGGACCCGATGTGCGGACGGCTGCAGAATCGCTGCAGGGTACTGTGCAACCGCAACGATGAGGGCGACGACATGTCACCAAACGGTCCCGGTAGCAGTGTGGGATGCAAGGAGCTGGTCGGGTATGTTTCTGCTCCTTCTTGTGCACCAGGTGTGCCGACGTCTGCTCGGGGCCGTCGGATATACCTGGACGAAGCAGGCAAATAGGAGTTTTGCGTCGTAATCAGCTAGGATTCCTTCGGACCTGGCGCCGTCTAGACACTGCGCCGGGCAGGATCGCGTAGAGCATGAGGGGCGGAAGGAATGGTGCCGTGCTGGCATTGCGTCCGGCACGCCCCTCTGGTTGTTGTGCACCCTCTCCCCTGGCCGTTGCGTTGCTAGTGTGAGTGTGCGTATTGTGGTGTGGTCGTGGTTGTGGCCTTTTCCATCTTTGGCCACTTGGGCAGGGACGACAGTGCGCCCAAACCCAGGGGACCCCGAGCCCCGAGCCCCCGCCATATCCACGTGACTAAGCGACTATCCGCCAAAATTTCATGCACACAGTCATCACGCCGAGCGCAACTTGAGCCAGGTCCAACAATACCTCTGGGAAAGAGTTCACGAGCGACGTCATGGCACAAAATGACCAGAACGTGCCAGCTCCGCAGCCTTCTGCGGACATGCCACCCGCCATGGCCGAGGTGAAATCGCAGGCTGTGGACGATTTGCTCAAGGAGATGAACCGCATGCCGCTTTTCATGACAAGCCTGGATGAAACAGATGGTGAGGGTGGCGACAACATGGCCCTCGAAGCGCTCAAGGCATTGGCATATGAGGGCACCCGTGCTGAAATTGCAGAAAACTTTCGCCAGCAGGGCAACGACTGCGCAAGGACAAAGCAGTGGTCCAATGCAAAGGAGTTCTACACAAAGGCAATAGCAGCCCTCAAAGGCCCGCAGACCCATCGAGACCCAGACGCTGCAGGGCCGGGCGTTATCGATGACGAGTTGGATGAGCAAGAGGAGGCAAACAAGGAGAGGTCAATTGCAGAGGCTGTCTACGTCAACCGAGCACTGTGCAATTTGGAAAAGAGTATGTCGTGCACAAGGGAGCATGTTTAGATGACGGATCAACTGACATGGTGCAGAAAACTTCCGCTCATGCATCCAAGATTGCGTAGCTGCACTTCACATCAACCCAGCAAATGTCAAGGCTTTCTACAGATCCGCCACTGCTGGCTTGGAGTTGAATAAGCTAGACGAGGCTGCATGGGCCTGCAATCGTGGACTAGCCTTGGACCCTACCAATGGACCGCTCAAAGCTCTTCAAACCAAGATTGAGACTCGAAAAAAGTACGTAGAATCTGTGGAAAAGGCGCGTCGAGAGCGCGAGGCAAAGGCTGCCTCGGAGCGTGCAACACTGCAACTTGCCCTCAAGAGCAGAAACATCCTTACCCGAAACACGGACAAGGCGCCAGATCTAGAAGATGCAACGGTCAAGCTGGAGAACAGCATGGATCCTTCTTCGACACTGACATTCCCGGTCATATTGCTCTATCCTATGGACTCGCAATCAGACTTTATTAAGGTATTCTCTGAAAAGGAGAAACTAGACCAACACTTGGACTACATCTTTCCCCTACCATGGGACCAGAAGCACGAGTACACGGTGGAAAATGTAGAAGCGTACATGGAGACAGCAGCCGGCGGGCTAATCAAGGTAGGCAAGAAGATGAGCCTTGGCAAGGTCCTAGGAAGCGGGAAGCCAGAGATCGTCGATGGTCTAGTATCCATCAGCGTGGTTCCAAAGGACAAGGCTGCCGGCTGGATCGAAGAGTTCAAGAAACGACAAGGAAAAGCTTCGTAGCTCAGGCCATGTATAGTATGCACGTACATACTTACATAACCCACGGCGTTTTTCTGCCACATGGTCTTCCATACGATCATCGCCGTTAACGGTCCGAAAACAAGCGCGGATGTATCGCTAAACGCGTGGAATACGAATCCGGCGCTGTTCCCAAAGTCCGGTAATGAAGGGTTCCTTCGGCGCATGGACAGTAATCATGTGTCACGCAATTGTCATCTCAAAACTGCTCAACTCACTTCACTCCCCTGAACATGTACGTAAGTATGTACACTGCCTCGGGCCGCACATACAGACGAGTATGACGTACATTTTTCTCAGCATGCACGCGTACTACGTTTTGGTTACGGGACGGAACGAGCACAAAAATAGTCTTGCAAGCAGAAACACTTGTACACTACATATCTGCCTACTGCCGCGTCATCTGCTCCTTATATCGATATGACAATACGTACACACATAGCCGCAACAGCAGCGTCGTCCACCTGTACACGAGATAAATATTACCAGATCGGCAAACGATCATATTCGCCAAGTATCTTGAAATACAAGAAAAAAACGGCTCAGAATGCGCCCATAAGCCCGCCCCAGCCTCTACTATAACACACCATATTATCCATATCAGCCAGCCTCAACAATCTCAACCCACGCCCAAAACCCGGGTATACGGTCAGACGCACCTAGCACAGCGGGGCCACAACGGACGTGCACCCCGAAATAGGACACTGTAGCACAAAACTATAATATATACAAAAATGCACAATGTGGCTGGGCTGGCTCACCCTATAAGCGGGGTGTGCTATTATCACCATGCATGCAGATTTTAATCAACCAACCTTATTCCAACATATACGCCGACAGAGCACCATTACCTCTCGTAGCTCCACAAACACGGCAGAGGCAGATGGCAGAAGCGAACAGACCCCCCAAACTCCCTTGGAGTAGTCCCTCGATCGCCCCCTCTTATCGACCTCCCCCCCCCCCCCAAAAAAAACGTGACAAACAACGCCGCATCAAACCCGGGGCGATCTTTGCCTCCCCCTTATCCCCCCTTCATCATTCCCACATCTCGAAGTCTAAATAAAGTTAAGTGGAACCTTCACCCTAACCCCTCCCTAGCAAACCCCATCCATCTATCCCCCCCAACCCAAAAGCATATACTAGGTAGCCCGGCAAATGGCATCGCGTGGCACACCACATGGTTCAAACCATGGTT